TTGTGCGTCTTCATGAGTGTGTGTTCGTCTCTTTGACTGACTCACCCTCCTCACATCCCTGATCTGAACTATTAAAAGCGTGGCTGTCCTAAGGCATGAGGGATATGATGGCTGATCCTTCACCTCTCAGCATCTCTCCCTCCCACTCACTCCTCATCCAAGGAGTCCCGACCTCTACCCTCAAAAAAAACCCAGAAACGCTTTATTCATTACGTCCTATCTCTTTTATCCCGCTGCCTGGTGTTGAGGAAGGACGGTGAGGGGGAGTGTGGAGGAAGCTGGCTGTGAGGGAGTAAACCCAGAGAGGGAAGGAGGGGTGGAGTGAGTGGAGGTTATTCTGCTCTCATGGGTCTGTTAGTGAATGTACACCCATGCAGCTGCGCCAATTAGCCTTGCTATGCCTGCACCCCCCACTCACCACACTCTCTCACACACACACACACTTATCCACATCCTCTTCTAATCTACTTAACTGACTACATACTAATAAGTGTGTATTAGACTTCTTTCAGGTCTGCGTGTTGATTCTTTTCAGCGTGTGTGTGTGTCTGTGTGTGTGTGTGTGTGTGTGTGTGTTTGACAGTCAGCGTTGATGCCAAGCACTGGGAGGAGAGAGACGCAGCTCCCTCTCATACGATACCGCTGTCACATTGGATCAGTCAGGGCAGTGCACAGGCAGGCTGGCAGGCAGCGGCACACAGCCGTGGGAATGACACTGCACTTCTGCTCTGGGAGAGACTGACGGAGTGCAGGCAAGGAGAGATGGGATACAGAGGGGTTGGAGCAGGGGTCAATATTAGATTCAGCTGTGTTTTGACTTCACGAGTTGCTGTACATCATTAGTCTGTTGTTTTTAACCTTTGTCACGGTGCTGCTTTCTTGGCCCAATCTCCCTTAAAGGCCCTGAAAACCTATTTTCTCAATCAGCTTCGTACTAGGACTGATGGGGTTCTACATGTATGCTTAATTTTCAAAAAATGTTTTGGTTATTTATTGGTTAAGAGACTTGTGTTTGTGTATCTCTGTTTTTGTTGTTGGTTTAAAGTGGCACAAGGCTCAGCTGGAAAAAGGTTGATGTTAACATATTTCTGTGCACCAGTCACAGTTTAGCAACATTTGAATCAAAATGTGATGACAGATATGGGTTTTTTAAGCTCATGTTGTCAGGCCAGTGTCGTAGACATCTGATTGAACCACACCCACAATGATCTAAAAAAAATCAGATAAACATTTAGGAAAAATACTAGTATCTGCACCATTATGAGCAGGTTTTGGCTTGCTTGACACCATAGACTGTATTAAAAACGGATGGACTGTCCATGATGTAACCCATAGGTTTCTGAAGAGCCGTTGTGAAGCTCAATGTGGGCAGCTCCAGCTGTTTCCAACTTGGCAGTGCCTTACTCTGGCTAATCTAGAAATGGGCAGAGGTGGAGCTGAGGCGGGCCAAATGAAGCCTGGTTGCTAAACCACCTTGCCTAGCGGCTAAGCCACCTGAGAGGGAACCCAGCTGTCACTCAAAGCGGCCATGTCCTTGATTATGCACAACTTTAAGCTTTAATATAATTTAAACAGGTGAGGTATACTGTATAAAAACTCACAGTTGTCATGAGGGAGGAAATTAGCTATAGAGACCAAAACAGGGTTTTTTTGTACCAAAGTGTAAACATGTTTAGTTCTGCTGTTGGGCATTTTTATATGAGAGTCTATGGGGATTGACTTTCTTTTGGAGCCAACCTCAAGTGGCCAAAATTGTCCCCCTCATTTAAAAAAATAATCCGGGTTTTGCCCCTTACTTTTATAGTTCTATTTTATTTACTCACTAAAATCTCTCTTAACTGTGTCCTCTGATTTTACAGATGCCAAAATCCACATGTGAGAAAAGAGGAGCTGATAAAAATGAGTCCCCTTGCAGTAAGAAGTGCTCTCTGTAGTTTAAAATAAACAAAATGCCCCAAATTTCACCTCTCGTACAGTCCGCCCTATCTTCTTCAAGGTTTTTGGGTCCATATGTAGCCTGAGAGGAAGACTGCAGACACGTCAGGGCTGAAAAATTGATTCACCTTCTCTGCATGTTTTTTGGGTGGAAAAAAACAATATAGTAATTTAATCTTTGTTTTTATGTACAGTTAGTATTCTCCTAAAAGATTATAGAATCAAGCATCAATCAAAGATTTGCATTGCTCTTTGTAGTAAAAAAAAAAAGAAAATAAATCACATACAACATTGCTTATCATAAAGTGTTTAGCAAGAAACATTATTATACGGTAGGTGCATTTATAATGCAGCAATTTACATATCTACTTCTTACCATTATTATGGAAATATACCAACTGCAAAACCAGTATATTATAAAAATTAGTATATACTTTACACTGTGTACAATTATAATGAACAAAGGAATTGGGACAGAGATAGTGTTTTCATGCCATAGGCCATACTAAAATCCAGATTGAGCCTGACACAGCTTCAGTATTTCTCACTGGGCTTAAACACAGTCCAGTAAGGCGGTAAACTATCATGAACAATCTTGTTTTCAAGATGGGAAGCTTCTACTGTTCCATTAATAAAAAGGCTCACAAACATTGCTTCTAACCGCCTTGCATAACTTCTGCTTCTGGCACAGATGAAGCTAAAAGAAACAAAGTCAATAAAAGAAGTCATAGTCATAGGCATGTCTCAATTTACTGACAGCTTCCTGTTTTTATAAAAGAGAATCTATCAGGGGTTTTGACAGCCTTAACAATTTCACCATTGAACTGTGTTAAAGCTCAGCGAGGAGATGCAGCAGAGAGGTTATTTTGTCAATGCTGCAGCAACAATTGGGCTTGTGTTATACAAGATCTTGACATGTACCATTTTAATGTTTGAGTTGAAAACAACCAGCGTATCCTCTTTCCTCCTTAAAGGAACAGTTTGAAATTTTTTGGGAAAAAACATTCGTATGTTTTCTTGCCATGACTTGGATGAGAAGATTGATACCACACTCATGTTTGTCTGTTCAGTATGAAGCGACATCCAGTGTCAACTCTAAAGCTCACTAGTTAACACATTGTGTTTAGACCTTCTTTGTTTCATCCGTACAAAAACCAAAGTTGTTGTTTATGTAATTTTTAAGTGTTAATTACGCTAGAGAAATGTGTTTAATATTAATGCATAATGCATCTACAGCCTACACTCATTTTATAGGAGTATGCTTATTTGCTTTCTTGATGAGAGGACTGTCACCACTCTCACATCTTTAGTCTACAGTAAATATAAAACTGCAGCCGGTTAGCTTAGCTTTGCCGAAAGACAGGAAGCAGCATGGCTCTGTCCAAAGGTTTTTGTGTTGTGTTTTTTTTTACCTGCACCTCTAAATCTGTCTGGCTTGTTTAATATGTATACATAAAAAAAGGAAACCACAAGTTGTCTTCTCATCGATCGTCTTGCAAAAAAAAAGTGCGCATTTCCCAAAATGAAGTAAATGAAATATTGTTTTGAAAGACGAAGAGAGTAATCTGAGAGTCATCTTTTATGTGATCAACCATAAACAAATAGTACACAGCATTAAGTGTGACTTAGTTTGGCTTTAGTGAAAACAAGCAGATACAGAAATTGGTGTTTCCGGGGAAAATGTTTCATCCAACTTTCAGGTTAGTCTCGGAGAACTTTTAACAGGAATTTTGGGGGACTTTTCAGATAGGGAAAGGTTAAAAAGGTCCATAGAAGAGTTAAGTAAGGTTAAATGTGTTTAAAACTTACATACTGGTGAATGCATGTGTGTGTGTTTTGTATACAGCAGAGTGGGTATAAATAGGCCCAGTCCAACTGTTTATTGTGTAAATACACCAGATCTCTGCCCCCGCTGTGTTTAGGGGTAAGCAGCAGCAGCAGCAGGCCTCTCGCTGTCCTGGATCACCTGTTCAGACTCAGTGACAAGGTTACTGGGAGGTTAATGGGGTTGACTGTAGGCGCTTGTCTCAGGAGTGTAAGTGTTAAACACTGTCATGTTCTGTTGTTTTTACTTAAGCGCAGCAACATAACCCAGTTCCTCTGATATGATCGCTGTTGCTGTTGCCAGATGTAACTGAGGCAGTTCAGGTTAAGTGGGCAGCCTCAGGCAAGGACATGACAGAATACAGGAGGACAGTAGAGCACTTTTTTCCTCTCATTATCACTATGGCTCGGAGTATCAACAATCTCATACACTGCATCTGTTGTGGCAGGTTGTATGCAAGTGTATGTCAGTGCACAGAAATGTATTCTGTTCAGAGCTAAAACATATTGATTATTAATTTGTGAAGTACAAGCAATTGTGGTTAAAAGAAATTTTTTGTTATTTAGCTTTTTTTTTATGTGTGATATTTCATTTGGAACAAAGCGTTTCTTTTTGAAGATTTCTCAGGCACTCTGTGCTAATTAAACATACACACAAGGGAGAAGGTCTATTTTAAGGAAACAGCAACAGTGCTGATAATTGCTCTTAAAGAAGAAGGAGGGGGGCTCCAGTTTTTTTAATATTGGCATATAAAGAAAAGGAGCAGTTACTGAAGCTGTTTTGTGCTATACATGTACCTCTGACTGTGTGTGTTGGGGTGTGTGTGTATATGTGTGTGTGTGTGTGTGTGTGTGTGTGTATATATATATATGTATATATATATATATATATATATATATATATATGATTTATCATTCGGTCAATAAATGTCAGGAAATAATAAACACCCATAACAATTTCTCAGTCCGAGCTGGGACACTGTTTTGTTTGACCCAACGATGTTCAGTTTACAATGAGAGTAAACCAGCTAATATTCACATTGCAGAGGCTGGAACAAGACAATATTTGGTATTTTTGCCACAATAACCACTTAAATTAAGTCAAAAATGACTATTGTAAATGTAAAGTAAAATAAAATACTATTATCAAAATTGTTGTTGATGAATTTTCTGTTGCTCAACTAATAAGTTAATTGATCATTCAACGTCTAGTCGTAACCCTTGTTCCTCTGTCTGTCCAGGCTTGCCCAGCAGTACGTCTACCCTCAGGCGTTCCTCCAGCCCAGCCTGGTGCTGCAGTCCCAGCTCAGCCCCACAGCAGCAGCAGCAGCACTCGCCTCTCCTTACCTGGATTACAGCTCCGCCTACAGCCACTACGCCGCCACAGGACTGGAGCAGTACCCCTACACCCCTTCACCGTCGCCCTCCACTGGCTACCTCAGCTACAGCTTCTCCCCTGGCACTCCAGCGCCCACCCTCACCGCATCCCCGACACCTCCAGCTGCCATCCATCCTCCCCTGGCTGCACTCACCACTATGTCTGCTGCCCCGCAGGCCTTCCTCCACTACCCTCTGCACCAGCCTGACCGCATGCAGTGAGCAGCTCTGAGTGGAGCTGCAGCGGCCGAACTGAAAATTTCCAAAAAGCGTGACTCTTGACCTGTGACATCATCAGGATGAGACTGGATAACCAGGAAGAGAGTGTGATGTAATCAAAAGGGCTTTCAGAAAGCACTCTTGTTCCTGTTTTTATATATATATATATATATATATATATATTGTAATAGTTAAGGAAAATGTTCTATTGTTACAGTCATCAGCATACGATCTGAATGTTTTTCATAAGTGGCAGAAATCAGGGGCTGGAATGAGACGACCCTGACCCCTGACTCTCAGCACTGAAGTTGGACACAGGCTGACTGCTGGAGAGCGGATGGGTAAAGACAAAGAGAAATATGTCTGTTTGACATGATGCTGCGGCTGCAGTTTCTCCAAAGGTTCTGAGCTGAATGCTGGATTTTAGCCAGGCTGAGAGCCAGTTCCTCTTTCAGAAATGCAGGTCTAATTACCTCCTCTTCAAGGTTACCTTTCTGTCTATGGCCTTAGAGAGCGCTCTCTCTCTCTGTCTCTCTCTCTGTCTCTCTGTCTGTGTGTGTGTGCCTGGTTCAGTTTGGTTTTTTATTAGTCGTAAATGAACAAAATGTTTATTGTACTCCCCTTTGTTCCTTTTATCTACTGCTGACAGTAATAATCACAGTTGAACAGAAAATGCAATTGTGATGATAAAGAGCATGTATAAGGTAGACAACACTGGTATTTTGTTTTTATATTGCTACTGCTAGAACATTACACAGAGAAAGACTTTGTTAACACTTAAAACACAATAGGGAATTGAATTCCTGCAGCCACTTTGTTATTTTTATTAGTAAGTTTTCTGGATTTGGTCTTTGGGGGACTGTTTTTATGATAGATTACAAAGTTGTTGATACATATCATGTAAATGTGTTTGGATGTAGGTGTCAAGATGTATGTTGTTACTGATATGTGTGGGTGTATTTGGTGTCTGGTTTTGTGTGTCTTGACTGAGTGAGTGAGTGAGAGAAAAATTGAGCGATGCAGTACATGCCAGTGTCAGGACCGAGCTCCTTCTCCAGCCCATTGTACTTTGTTTCTTTGTTTTTCCCAGCTGCAGAATACAGGCAGATGCTTTAGAGATGATCCTGGAATCTTGCGGTGCTGTGGCACCACCTTAGTAGTCCTAAACCAAGCCATACATCACATTTGAAACAAATATGCAAAATAAAAGGAATATTTCTAAAATGAGTGTGGTCGAATTATACAGTATTTGTGGTTAAAACGAGTGGGAAACGGCTGGTGCATGACTCTATCGGGAGATGGAGAGTCACACATGACTCATGTAGTCAAGTCATTTTCTTGTGTCATTGAGATACTTCACACTGGTGGACAGGTAAACATGTTGAGGTGAAGGATATTTCTTACATTTATTTGCTTAGCTGACACTTTTATCCAAAGTTGCTGTTGCTATATATGGAAGGTTTTATTTGCTGGACCTCTTTCCCGGGAGCAGTAACTTCCCAGAGTCTCAGCTGGTTACCTGGCAATTTCTCCTGGCTAAAAATTAGTCTAGCACATATCCCACTTTGGTTGTTGTACTGATTAAGCCAGCAAGACATACACTAAAATGCTAATTTATGAGCTTTAGAGATGGTGGTAGGTGGGTTTCGTTCCATTTAGACAGAGCCAGTCTCACCGTTTCCCAATTTCCAGTCTTTATGCTAAGCTAAGCTAACCAGCTGCCAGCTGTTGCTTCATATTTACTACATGGTAAATTTTACTGGTATCAACCTTCTCATCTAACTAGCAGCAAGAAAGCAAATAAGTGTACTTCCTAAACTATTATTTTCAGTCCAATATACACTGACTTTGTACAAAGCTGATGTCACTTAGCCAATGTGACTGCACTGTAGGCTGCATCTCTGTCCCACCTGCCATCAAAATAAATAAATATCCTAAAACAGCTGGGCAGTGTAGTTTTTAGAAAACAATTCTCAATCAGGAGTAAATATTGTGTTTGTTGGGGACTATTTTTAGCTGTGGATTGATAAACACATTTAGTGCTTGTGTGATTTCCAGCAGCAGTGTATGTGGGATCTACTTAAATTAAAACTGCAGTACCCAGGCTCATAATAATCATTGAAAATGTCACCCAGTGCAATGATGTATTTTATTTATAGTTTTTATACAATAACGGAGGTCTATGGCACAGAGGAATGTGTTATATCAGGCTTGGCTACACAGATAACATTCATACCAGATATCAGAATCAATTCATTGTTGTTTTGATCTTTTCATGGGATTTGTTGACCATAAGAAAAATGTAGATCATCACCAGACTGACCATTTTACTGTCTTTGTTTTGTCAGGGCTCTGGAGGTGGAGTCATACTGCAGTTTATCAGCTGTGATGCACAAGAACAGAAGACAGTGTAAGATAAATGTGTCAGTTTTAAACTTTTCTTATCAAACACCAGCAATAGTCCGCCTTTGGGTAAACACTGTTTTACCCAAACAACCCCTCCCTTAACTACATCTCCCGGCATACCTCAAACTAATGGAACCTATAACAGCAATCGTTTTCTTCAGGGAGGTTTCACCACTGTGAACTTCTGCCTTTAAATTCAATTGTTTTTATGGGAGACTCTGACATGTGCTATTTTTGCCCTCTTCTGGCCAAAAGTATTTATTGCAGCTCATATTTTCCTCAGTGCCCGGCAGCAACTCCACAAAATGTTAAATTAAAAGGAACAAAAATGACCCAAACCTTGTATCAGCTTTTTATGTTTATTATCATTGAAATGTTTATTGAAACGCCTTGTGCTCCCAGTAAGGATCATATAATAAAAGGAGACTCAATGTAAAGCTTGCAGCTGATCTGCGGTGACCAGACCTACTATCAAAGTCTGGGATACAACATTTCTTTCTTGATTGCGCTGGTTCAGAACAAAAAGCAGATGGTTTATGTAAAAATGAATATCATAGCAAATACCACAGTGAGGGGAGGAGAAATGATCATTTTCACATTCATGAAAACTGATGACAAAATGAACACAGTTAATGGTACGAAACAGGAGAGTGGTAATGAAAATAAAACGAAATTTACTGTATCTGCAATCTTGATCACACACATACACACTTATACACACTCACTTGTACACGGGCAGGCGCACACACACATGCACACGCTCACTCTCACGCACACACTTGCACACACACATACTGCAGAAGTATCCACACACGCACACACAAACACAAACCCACAGATAAAATGTAGTGATTGAAAATAGTGAAACCCTGGTAAAATCTAATGGTATCATACATCCACGTCTTGTGTCTGAAGTGCAGAAAACAAAATGAACCTAAAAAACAAAAACTAAAATGGAGATAAATTCAGATGAATAATGAAAAGCATGCCCATCTTCACTGGTCTAACCCAACTTGAAATGACCACAAGCCCAGAGTGTTGCCCTCTCTACCCTACTCAAACCCCAACCCCTACCCCTCTACTCCATCCTCACCTGCCCCATGTCCTCTTACCCTTCTCATGCCATACCCACATCCCCACCTCTCCCTCATCCTGCCCTTGGTCTCCCAACATTTCCAACACCCATATCCTCAAACCCCTCTGCACAATTAAAGGATTTCCACACTCTTTGGAGTCGCAGATGAAGGCCTGGCTGGAAGGAGAAAGCAGGCAGACGGAGGCAGACGAGGCAGCTGCTGGTTCAGGCTCTGGTCACCATTTATCAAAAACACAATGTCCAGGTCAGAATACAGAGTGAGGACTGGGGGGTAGAGGAGTCTTGTTGTGTGTTGAGGTTGAAGGTTGTGAACCTGTGTATGTGTCGTTTTTTTTACAGTAGAACTGGAAAAATTGTATCATTTGTTAGTCTAGATGTGAGTATTTGGGTTAGTCTTGTGTGATGTTGTGTGAAGGCATGGGGGGTGGGGTGGGGGCAGTGGAGGTGGGACTGACGTAGCTCAGGGCCTTGTCCCTCATCCCTCAGCCCCAGTCGGAAAAGGGGGCAGGGGCAGGTTTATAGGGCTTGCGTTTTGAGCTCGATGGGCTCCCCACGGGTGTCCTGCTGGGTCTCGCTCTCAGGGGGTCGACTGCCCTTCAGTGTGGCCAGGCGCTCGGACAAACCTCTCATGCGTGGGAACAGCATGAAATCATACAGGAGGGCGCCCATGGCACCTCCTATCATAGGCCCGACCCAGTACACCTGTGGGCAGCAAACATCAGTTTTAACATTCATCAGTTAACACAGTTTCCAGTCATTTTTGATTCCTGCTGGGGTTGATATCTTCAGTGTGTTTGCAGGTCTTACCCAGTGGTTGATGAAGTTCCTGAAAAGCACAGCAGGGGCAAAGGACCTAGCAGGGTTCATTCCAGCACCGGTGTAGTACATCTAAAACACAAGACACTTGTTACTTATTGGGTTTTAAAATAAATGTGGTTATTATTTAATATCTATGTTTCCATGTGTCTCACCCCCATGAGATGTCCGATGGTGACGGAGAAGCCGATGGATAGGGCAGCAGATCCCATGCGTCCGTTTCTCCTCTCATCGGTCACGGCGAAGATGCACACCACAAGCTGCATGGTGAGGAAAACCTCCACAGTGGTGCCCATTCCCAGACTGATGCCAGGCTGCAGCTGGAGACACACAGGTGGACAAAAATAAGTCAAAGAAATCATGGTCTAAGAGCTGTATGGTACATATGGAAATTAATTTCTCTTTTTCTCTGAAAAATTATGAATGACTGGAAATAATTTGACATTTGACATTTGGTTTTTCAGGTCTTTTAAACCATGATTTCACTAGATGGCCTGGTTGGACTAAAAAATGCTTTACTGAAGTGACCAGGAACTGATGCTAGTGGACTCCTTTACCAAATTTAACAATTTCATGAACTCTACAATGTATGCCATGTATCCCATTGATCACCGTATCCAAAAAAACTTCTACCTCACCTATCCCAACATTGCAATATTTGTTTTCTGAAACATCCAGAGTGGGTCCTTACTGTGTTCATTGCCATGTTGCCTCTCATGTTGCCAGGTGTGACCCCGTACAGCACAGCAGCTCCAGCTACAGCACCCAGGCACTGGGCGGCTATGTAGAAAACGGCGCGAAAAAGAGACATCTGTGAGCCAACAAGGTAGGCAAAGGTGACGGCAGGGTTGATGTGGCCGCCGCTGATGTGGCCAATGGACTGGATGAGGGTGGCAGCTGCTAGCCCGAAACACAGGGCCACATGAAGGACATGATGAGGCCCGGTGGTCCAGCGCAGAGCAGCGCCCATGCCGAAGAATACAAAGAACATGGTCCCGAAGAACTCTGCAAAGACCGCTCGCCAAAAATTCATGGACCGGAACTCCCACATGGTGACTTTTCACTTGAGGCTCTCCACCAGATGAAGAAGATTCTTTAAAAACAAATCAGGGTGAATCTAGAAAAGTTAATGTGTACCTTTTAGGTCCTCTTCAAATGCCAAAAATAACAAAAAAGGATCTCCCTTTTGTAGTCAGCACACTCGGCTGACCAAAAACACTGACAGAGTCAGGTCAAAGACAAAACAGGATTTCAGAACGTCAACAGACGAATCCACTCAACGGATCTTTACCAAGCAGTGAATTGGGTTGGTAAAGTCAACTCAGCTGCGTTCGCTTGCCACCTCTGTCCACCTGTCGCAAAGACATAGGTGTGAGATAACGTGGGAGTGTGGGTGGAGATCTCACGTGGGGTGAGTTGTCAAGAGTAGGTGGGCATCAATGCTAAAGGGGTGTTTCTAAAGTAGAGACAGGGATAGACAGAGTGTCCGGTGGACGTTTTAGCCTCTCTGACGGAGGGGAGAGGGCCAGACAGGGGCTTTATAATACCCCCCCAGGGGCCCCAGGTGACGCCATAATCCCCCTTTAGGGCGAAGGGTGGGGGGCGGCAGTGCTGGACATCCTAAATCAAACAAACTTAACCCCTCTGTCGCCCCCCTACAACAGACCAAGGCCAAAAGAAAAGGCAGTGTATCCAAGAAGAGAAACAGATAAAGCAAGAATGAGTGCAAACACATGAAAGACATTTAGTTGGAAGAAGAGAGATTTTGGATAAACAAACAACAGGAAATATTGGATCTTATATTCGGGGGGGGGAGCAAGGAGGAACAGCCACAGTGAAGAGAAGCTGGAGCCAAGAGGAGAAAGTTTTCTTTGGGGCGTATGTCATCTGTTGACATATCATAACTGTCATAATCAGGGGTCGCAAATGCTGATGGACGAGGACAGAAGACACACATGCATGCACAAAGACAGGCACACGCACAAACAAACACATACACGTATACACACATGCAGATAATACAGTTGGGGCCCCGGACGGAAGTGCCCAAAGCTAACAGCGCTGAACTGACCCATACACTGAAATGCCTGACCCTGTGAAACCATTGTCTGTAACAAGCATGTGGGCTACGTATGGACGGAGACAAGACAAAATACATATTAAACTAAAGCAAAAGAGTAAGAGCTAACCAAGCATTGTCTTAAATTTGCAATGCTAAATGCTAAAACTACATTTGTGGCTTCCGTTTATAGGTGACAACTGTGTAATGTAACTGGAGACAATTATATCACCTAGCCCTGCTGATAGTAATCAGCAATCTTTAAGAGGAGGAAAAGAAAAGTCTCTTTCTAGTGGCAGCGATCATTGCAGAAGTCTGTGCACTAAGAACAGAACTTGACACTGCCTCAGAGCTCAGAGCTGCCACTGGCACTGCTCCACAGCCAACACCATGTAGGCTAGCTGAGAAATCTAACTAACATGTGCAAGGTGAGAAAAACAGCAACGGAGAGGGAAAACAGTGGAAAGGAAAGTGTGGAAAAACACGGAGCCACAAGCAATGAACCAACAATTATTCACATAACACAGCAGATTGTGTCTTCTGTTGTGACAGGGGCTTCTAGGAGGTGCTCGGCAGAGGTTTGCATAACGTGAGAGTGTGTGTTTGCCTGTGTGTGTGTGTGTGTTGCATGAGGACGAATGACCAAGGCCCTGAAAGTTCTGTGTGTGTGGAGCTGGGGAAAGGGAGAGAGGTGCAGTAAGGCAGCAGGGATGTGGGGGGACGGTGGGTTTACAGAACAGCACTGAGGCATCGCGCTGACCAGTCGAGAGCCATCACTGTTGGGGAGTTGGGGGTGGGGGTGAGAGAGGGGGATGATGAATGCTGAATGCTGAGCTTGCCGTTTTAACTCCCTTTTATACATGTTAGAAAACACACAATGCAAAATGCTGGCAGCACTGTGGCAGTTATTGCTGTTGTGCACGATGTGTGTGTGTATAAATAGTTTATGTATGAGTATGTGTGCACTGTGCATGTGTGTTTTCAAATTACACTGCTATAGTGATACTGATTGCTAACATGGTTTTATTTTAGACTTGCTGTCAAATCCAGATAATACAGTGTACAGTGAACACATTTGACCTCAGTTATCAATATTAATACATAATAAATATAATAAATAGTATTGGTTTTAAAGTGGCAGTTCATCCAAATTCCAAAAACATATTTTTCACTTACCACTAGTGGTATGAGGTGTACTTGGGTGGAGTTGAATATCGCAAAACTTAGGCAAATTGAATCAAATTCATCTGCAAGGCAAGGCCACTACTGGGAAAATTTTCTTGTATAATTTGGGTGAACTGACCAACATGGCATCGTTTGCCAAAAAGGTTCCATGAAAGCAAAATTGTCTCTCACACACCCAAACACGCATGTACACACACACACACACACACACACGCTCATTGTACCCATTTTAAATTACAAAGCTTATTTCCACTGAAGGTGTTCTTTCTGTACAGCCATTACAGAGGTATGAAGGTCCATTTGCTTGTGAATAGGAGGCCTCGGCGAAGAGATGGACGGTAACAGGCACAGACATGAGAGCGATGTCGAACTGACTGAGAGCATCATTGAACCTACAATGCAGGGCAAGGACCTCTTTAGCATTTCAAAGCATCCACAGATATGGGATGCAACTGAAAATGGTGAACATGAGGGTGTTTTCAGACGGATTTCAATGAGTCTCAATTATATATTCTAATGATGTGCAAATGTGAAAGTAACAATACGGAATCTCACAATATTGGCTGCACTTTCACATACGCTAATGGCAGGCAACCAGGACCTCAGAGGTCACATTCAGCCCCTTTAAAATACAGCTTCCACGTTAATTTCTCCCCACATGTGCAACAAAAAGCAAAGACTAATTTTAGTCAGAATCCGGGGAACATTGTGAACCTCCAGAATGGGCTGGTAATGTTTTAGTGGAAGGACAGTAAAAGGATAACTCAGTGATCGCTTGAAAGTAGTCTTCCCTTTGTTGCCTTATTTATTCGCACCTGAGCAACATGTAGGTTTTATATTTAATGTGGTCTCTTGAAAAGAAAAGGGACCTGTAGGGCACCCGCAAGCACACAACGCATGTTAGTGAGACCATGTGACTTTGAAAGGAGAAATAACACATTCTTTACAAACAAATACCTGAATTCATGAGCAACAATAAACACCCTCACTCAGCTTAATATACTGAGGGGGTTTGCTGCTACAGCCTCACTAGTCTGATATGAGCATAAGCTAATGGTGGCTAATGTTAGCTAACATGGGCAAACTCTACATAAATAGTGCTATTAAACTGATGTTTGAATGATGAATGAGTTAGTTTGCAGACTTTTCACTCTTCTCTACTTGTGCTACTATGACATTATGTTATAGCATTTACCATCATCCCATAAATGTCAACAGCAAAAGTTACATAGTCTCATTTAAATATTTGTGTTTACTAACTTAGGTTACAGGACACAGGAGGTGGGAAGTAACAAGATACTGTATGTTTTCCTAGGTTTTCAGGTACTGGTACTTTGATGGAGTATTTCCATTTTACTATTACATTGTGTTTTATAGTGAAACATTGTACTTTTTTACTTAACAACATTTATCTGTCTGCTGCAGTTAGTCTACTATTTACTTTGATTCTACACTGAACTCATAAAATGTGGCTGTTATAGGGAATAAATCTTGTATTACCAATATATAGACTTTGTTTCAGATCAATAATTGTTACACTCTGACAGGAACATTGCGTGAGTCATTTTTCAAGCAAAAATGTCAGACATTTACTAGTTCCAGGATCTAAAATGTGAGGATTTGCTCATTGTTTTCTGCTTTATGTTGTTGTAAAATTAATATCTTTGAGTTTTAGACTGTTGGTCAGACAAGATGTTTGAATACTTCATTTTCATTTTCAAATTATAATGGGCATTTCCCACAATTTTCTGACCTTTAATAGAAGAAAATCAACAAAATGAGAAACTAAACAGCAGATTAATCACATTGGGGTTCAGTGTCTTGCTCAAGGACACTTCAACAGGAAAAGCTGGGGTTCAATCTTACAAATAATAGACAACTGCTTAGTTGCTCTATCACCTAAGCTACAGCCACCATTTCTCTTGAAGTATTACTACTTTCACATTTTAGTATTTCTTTATCACAGGACTGGAATGCTTGACAAGGTACTTTAAAACTCAAAACTGTATATAATAATATTAAATATAGGATAAACACTTTTTTCCTCTCTTGGATCACTCACTGGGAGCAGCTGTATGATTTTGTGTATTACACCATACATTATTAATGGTAAATGTGCTCATATGTGATAAATTTAACTTAAAGCACAGCTACTCCCTTTCTTTTATCCCATTCACTGTCAAGCCTGATCTACATTACTGATAAACTGTACATTTTCATAAAAATCACTGCAATATTGCAAAAGGAATGTATTTCTGTTTGGTTTTTTTCATGTAGGTGTCATCAGTTGTTTTCCTGTTTGTTGGCCTGCTTGGCTCTCATGGCATTCTGCGTGACTGTGGACAGCGATGATCCGGTCATGCTGGCCGTCTCCACAATCTCGATATCCTTACAGGTTAGACATGCCACCAGCTTCTGGCGAGAGGCACTGCGTGCAAAGAAGAACTCATGGGACACTCCCGCCAGGATAGCACCGAGCACTGGTCCCATCCAATAAACCTGAAGGTGGGCAACAGAGAAACAGGTTTTACAGATGTGTTTAGACAGAAGAATGCTTTCACTTTACGGTTCAAAATGGGTACGCAACAAATAGACAACTTTGAATCAGCTGAATATCATCTAGGAATATTCAGACACTAATTAAAAGTAGAAATTCAACAATACAAATGTATCTTTATGAGTAAAAGTCTTGCATTCAAAATTGTATTCAAGTAAAAATATTAGCAGTTAAATGTTCTTACAGAATTAAAAGTAAAAATACTATTGTTCTGCTGAAAGATTGCACCTGTATTTGTTTCTAAATACTGATGCATTTGTGGGTAAGCAGCATTTTACTGTTGCAGCTGGTCGAGGTGGAACTGCTTTATCTGTAAATGCTCTGTATTTGTACAGCAACCACTCACTCGCTTTTACACTACATCGCATTCACCCATTTGCACACATTCATACACTGATAGTTGTGGCCATGTGTTTCTATATGTTTAGTAGTTTAGTCCATCGGTTCCCAACCTAATGATCGGGCCCATCCAAAGGGTCACAACATAAATCTGGAGGGATCATGAGATGAGAGGAAAGAAGAAAAAACTCATTTCTGCAACACACATTTATATATAATTTTGGGACTTTTTTCCCAATCTTCAATCATGTTTTTACTTCTTTGGGTCTTGAAAAATTATTTAAATGAAACCATGTGAGCTGTTTAGAGGAGAAATCTCTCTTTTTTTCCCAAAACATTTTTAATACAAGGTCATAAGTGTTTGGCAACCACTGGCATAATCTTTAAATATTTGGTAATCACTGGCTAAGCGTATTAAATGTTTTAAATCCTAATCTGAAAAGTAATTGCAATAGCTACAGCTGACAGATAAATGTAGTGGAGTAAAAAGTACAAAATGTTACTTGATTACTGTACTAGAGTAAAATGTACTTAGTTACTTTCTACCATTATACCTAATTCAGTCAACATCAAATGTTTATTGAGTTTGATTATTCATTAAATGTTTTTGCTCATATTATTATTATCATAACAAATAAAATAAATTGACTAGCATTGGAAAAATCAGTTGGACAGTGAAGACAGATGTGGATTTTGAGGCTCTCTCTCTCTCACCCAGTGGTTTTCCCAGAAGCTAGTGATGATTGCCGGACCCAGAGAACGTGCGGGGTTCATACTTGCACCAGAGAACCGTGCCTGACAGAAAAACAGCACATACACAAAAATGAAGTGCTATGTTTCTTTTTCTTTACACTTTAATTTTTATTGGGTTTTCAGATCTGGAAACAACAACGTGAGAACACATTGAACAAACAGTTGTCAATCACTTTTCCCAATTCCTGTAAAAAAAAAAAATATATATATATATATATATATATATCTTTTAACATTCAGCAGGTAGCTAAATTTTTCCTCTGACTAAATTTCCTTAACATTCTCCAACCATTGCTCTTTCCCTGAAGAGTCAGCTTTAAACAGTTTTTTTTAATGAATATTTCTGACAGAAAATAACATGATTCTGTGTGACAGCTCTCCTTACCCCTATTAGCACGCCAGCAGTGTGTGCTAATCCAATGGCCAGGTTTCCTGGTTCTGGGCTTTCCCTCCGTCGCTGGTCCTCCACTGAGAACACAGTGAAGACCAGCTGGAAGGTGCACAATGCCTCTATGCCCAGAGCCTGGGCTGCATTCAGCTCTATGGGAACCTGCGTCGGGTAAAAGAGGAGCAGGAGAGGTAGGCAGGAATATTCTGAAAATATGTTTCAAACTTTAAAAGGTAACCCACTAACAATCTGAGAACTGACCCTGTTGACGAAGTATTCTGCAGTGGTTTTGAGTGGCAGGGCCAGGTAGAGGGCTCCAGCTCCTAAAGAGGCCCCCAAACACTGTGCAGTGATATAAGCAAGGGCCCTGAGAACATCCAGCCTCCGAGTGGCCAACAGGGACAGAGTCACAGCAGGGTTCACCTGATCAGAGAGCACAAACACATGCTTACATATAAAGAAAATTACAAATATTGAAAAATAAATAACATAAAAACTGCCAGTGGTAGAATGTAACTAAGGCTATTTACTTAAGTACTTGTATTTTACTTGAGTATTTCCATTATATACTTCTACTCCAATACATTTCAGAGGAAAAAATTGGACTATTTTAATCCACTACGTTTCTCTGTCAGCTGAAGTTATGTATATTTTTTCAGATTAAAACAAATAAGATTATAAGATCAAACCAGTGGTTCCCTACCTGTTTGGTTTGTGACTCCTAAAAACAAAAGTAGATTCATATGTGGCCCCTTCTCATGTTTCAGATATCTATGATATGTTAGCAGTTCCAACAAATAGTGATCTCCCCTCTAAACTTCTCATATTGTTTCATTAAATAACTGTTTGAGGCTCGAAGAGGTAAAAGTATCCAATATTGTTTTTAAAGGCAAAGACTAGAGAAAACTCTAAAACATTTAAAACAGATTTGTGTTGTTTTTTCTTCCTCCTTGTCCCATTAATCATCTTACAACCCATCAGATTTATCTTATGACTCCCCTGGTTGGGAACCACTCGATTAATTACCTACCTGTATATAAAGTAATTTAGACTAAAAGTAAAATGCTGCTTACACATTTTTGCATCAGTATTAACAATCTAATAATGTCACATGATAAAATATCACCCACACAGGACAAAATTAATACTTTAATTATTGATACTTAAATGACATTAAGTTAATAATACTACTGTATATTTATTGAAGTAGGATTTGAAATGTAGGAGTTTTACTTAAAATAGAGTATTGCTATAGTCTAGTATTGGTACTTCTACTCCAGTAAAGGATGTGAGTACTTCTTAAACCACTGACAACTGCTCTGTTACCACCAGGAAAGAGCTTCCAACAAGAACAAGTCAATCGCAGAAAGATTGTTTTTTTTTAAATGAGTGTGTGACTATGAGACATTCACCTGTGCCCCACTTATTTCTCCAAAACAGTGACCCAGTACAACAATCACAGCACCCACTGCCACTGCTGGGTAGAGGGGTCCCCCGGGGGCCTCGCCGGGGCCTGGCACAGAGGCACCCAGCACGGCGCTTACTAATACCAGGGTGCCGAGCAGCTCTGCCAGCATGGCACGCCAGAACTGCCGACTACGTAGCTCCTCGGAGAAAGGGGACATAAACAAAGATGGCCTATACTTAGATGTTTTTTTAAAATTATGGGGTAAATGAAAACAGAACAAAATCTTGCTCAAACCCTAACTAGTGCTGGGATCCATACTTTTTATAGTCACAAAGCCTGATGAAGGTTGTATACTATATGCTTACGATTATGTTATCAATCTACTTTTTAAGATATTCCTTCTACTGCTATCAAATGTCAAAGATGACACAAGTGGACACATTGACAACACTTATTCCATCACTATATCTAACATAAACAAGTCAACTCCATGTTAGTAAGCTGTATTTCAACACTGTAACACATTGTCTACTTTTGCTGCCATAAAATAAAAATACACAAGCCCTACTTGCTTAAAACAATGTTGGTTAGATTAGTTAGGTACTACATTGGAAATCATGAGGGGTTTAAACGCCAATGTAAAATAAAATGCTTACCTCACGCCACGTCATTTCAATTCAATATTTTTCTCTTTTTTTTTTCTTCTCTGTAGGTCTGTTCTGGCTGTCCGTCTGTTTGTGTGTAGCTGTCGGGGTCTGAGGGCTTCAGGGTCTCTGCTACGTCCCTCATTAACTTGTAGAGTCTTTGATGAGAGCAGCCTCCCGCCCCTCTCAGTCTCTCTCTCCTCACCCCCTCCTTACCCCGCACCTCAGGCCCTATCAAGTCTTCCTTTTTTTCTCTATCTTTATTAAATTTCAAACATGACAGAGTACAGAGCAAGTCAAGTCTTCCCTTGCACACACATTAGTCAGCGCAAGAACCTTGAAATATGTCCCAATATTCCTCCAACACATTCAACCTTGAGCAATTTAATGCATCTTCGGCAAACTACCAGGCGCCTTTCACTCATCTTCAAATTGAAGTGATTGTTGTCACTTCAGAGGGTTGCACGACTTCTGAATGGACGAATCACACAGCTGGTTGAAACACTACAGTGAGGACATACAATTGTATAACCACTTATGGAAAGGGACTGAAATAGCTTGATCACAATTATGAGCACTATTACAAAGGTGGGTCATTCAAAGTTGAAGATGAATGCCAGTAAGAAGCATTGTTATCTGTCATTTAGTGTTTCAATTCACATGATGCAAAATTCAAAACACAAAAGAGACCAAATTTTCTGAACAAATGCCTATATAATAATAATAATAATAATAATAATAATCTTTATTTATAGAGCACTTTTAAAACCAAACGTTAGAAAGTGCTTAACATAAAAACATATATAAAACAATACAAGAAACAAAAGTCAAAAAAATATACGTCAAACAAAATCAGGTAAAATCAGGGAATGCTCTTCGATAAAAGTATGTTTTAATAAGGGATTTAAAAGAGTTTACTGATTCAGCCAACCTAATTTCCTCGGGTAGATTGTTCCAGAGCCTCGGTGTCCTAACTGCAAAGGCTCTGTCCCCTCTCAATTTCAGCCGGGTCTCTGGGACCACTAAAAGCCCCTTACTTGAGGATCTCAAGTTACGAGCTGGTATGTAGGGTACTAGTAGGTCAGCAATATAGCAAGGGGCGAGACCATGTAAAGCCTTAAATCTAATCAGTAAAATCTTAAAATCAATTCTAAAACATACTGGGAGCCAGTGTAACGAGGCCAAAACAGGAGTGATATGCTCACGTTTCTTGGTTCTAGTTAAAAGCCTGGCAGCTGAATTCTGAACATACTGTAGCCGATCAATAGATTTTTGATTCAAGCAGGAAAAGAGACTGTTACAATAGTCCACACGTGAAGAAATAAAAGCGTGTAAAATGGTCTCAGTATCTTTAAAGGTTAAAAAAGGTCAGATTTTAGAAATGTTTCTAAGATGATAAAAACATGATTGCATCAGCTTTGTTGTGTGCTGCTCAAAACATAAATCAATGTCAAACCAGATACCAAGATTCCTTGCCACTGGCTTGATCTGATAAACCAAGGAAATCTGTGAACGGCATAATATGTTTTATCAAATGCTTGGGGCCAATGATGAGGATCTCTGCTTTATTTAATTGAAGGAAATTATCAAACATCCAGTTTTTTAACTCACTAAGGCAGTCCTTCAATGCAGTAAACATTTCAGAGTCAGTGTGTTTAATGGGCAGGTATAACTGTGTATCATCTGCATAAAAATGGAAAGAGATACCATGTCTCTGAATAATGTGCCCTAAAGGAAGCATATATAATGAAAATAAAATTGGTCCCAAGACTGACACACAGAACCTCCTATCTGACAAGTAAGATATAAACAAGTCTAAAACAGTACCCGGATATACCCACCCAGCGCCTCATTCTCTCCAAGAGGATACTATGGTCAACTGTGTCAAACGCAGCACTAAGATCTAAGAGTACAAGCACAGAGCACATTCCACTATCTGCAGCCATCAAAAGATCATTGGTAACTTTGAGCAATGTCGTTTCAGTGCTATGGTATTTCCTGAAGCCTGACTGAAACTTTTCAAAGATGTTATTTGTTTCTAATGTATGTAGAAGCTGCTTGGACTCAAAACTTTTAACAATAAAGGGCAACTTGAGGATTGGTCTGTAATTTTCGGGGAGGGAGATGTCCAGTCCAGGTTTTTTTTAATGGTGGGTTCACACACGCAGTTTTAAAATAATCTGGGACACGGCCACTGGATAAAGAACTATTAAAAATTGAGAGCAAGCAAGGCCCTACAGAATCCATGACTTTTAGTAAAAACTTTGTCGGTATCACATCAAGAGGTCTGGAAGATACTCTCACTGTCAAGCTCTGGGTGAAGAAAATCTGACGTATATAATAGAATGGTCTTGAGGAGTATGATATTCAAACTCCAAACCAGTGTAAATAAGTGTTTTTTCAACCTAGATTTTCACCCCAGTGGTGCCAGCTTTACACCCCAAAGTATGGATATCCTTAAGTCTAGTGATAATATATATTTTCATTATTGTCAACAAATCCCATGAAAAGACCAAAACCAACAATGAATTGATGCTGCTAACAAATATTGTTTATGCAGCCAAAGCCTGATATTCCTCTGCGCCACCAAGCTCCATTGTTGTTTAAAAAAACACGAGTGAGCCATACTGTTGCGCTGGCTGACATGTTCCTTATTTACAGTGAACATGGACTCTATAGTTTATTTAGAGTTGATCCCTCATAGGGAGTCCTGCTGGAGCTAGAGCGCCAAATGTATATTAATCCAGTTGAAAATATAGGCCCAACATATGTAGCCTCCCTTTTTCAGTAATGTTTACTAAAAACTACAGTGCCTAACAGTTTTTGCCCAAATTACTTTAAATTAAACAAAATATTAATAAACTAAGATGGTGAACATAGACATTATACCTGCTAAAAGACAACATGTTAGCATTGTCATTGTGAGCATGTTAGCATGCTAACATTAAGCTCTAGCTCAAAGCACCCGAGTGCAGCCTCACAAACCTGCCAGTGTGGCTGCAGATGCTTAGTCCTATTAAATATTTACTTATTTTCTAGGAATAAGTGGGTTTCATGGTGAGTGCCATAAACTATCACCAGCCATATCCTTTAAAAACATGACATATACAGTATACACATAGAAGAGCATCACATTGACATAACATGTGCTGTGGCTTGTCCTGCCACGCTGAACTGTGTTGGCGTGTCCTGAGCACCTGGTACCCATTACTGCTGCTCAGCCTCATTTTCATATCAATTATAGGAGAAAGGGACCATTACTGAGCAGATAGGAACAGAGCAACAAGAACAGACCACATCCTCTGCTTTGAAATGATCTGTTGGGTCATGCATTGCATTTCAACATCAGATAATAAGAGATAAATATGACTCTTTCTTCTTGTCCTCTAATTCTTTATACGCTGGAGGGAAATTGGGTTTTCAAAAGCTCCAGATTTGAAGTGAGATGGACAGGCTGTCCACGTTAAACAGCAGAAGAAATATAGCGTGTATTGAATAAGAGCTAAGTTAAAGGTAGAGCCATATGTAAAACTGCCTGTGTTATGTTAAACCCTGAAATCTCAAATATGATGTCCTCCCCATCCTCCTTTTCTTCCTCCCACAAACTACGTGTGAGGTGCTGATCTGGTCACCATGGGGACAAACTCATTCATGATGCTGTTGCCATAGAGCCTATTGTGATGTTGCATCTGTGCACGCTTTTCATTTTCACTCTTTGATATTGAAACAAATACACACCTTGTGAAGAATTCCTCTGTTTGGCTAAAAACTGAGAATATTCACCTTGATGGTGTTGGGGGTGCAACAAGTACACCATGGCTGCTTTGCAACCTCTGAATATGAGTTTTTCAAATGTGTATTCTTTAATTTACTGCAATATGTACATTTTAGCAGCAGAATAGAGGCAGCTGACATGATGTTCGTAGTGATATGGAGATGCTTGGATTCTCCTGATCGTCCAGGCGTCAGGGGCCCTCAATCTGGCAAACCAAGTCCAGAATGAACTGGTTGGTGGGTTTGAGGTGTTTGGGAGGGGTGGGGGGTGATGGTGTGCCACATTATGCCGTGGATTACCCCCTCCTCTCTACTGCAACTGTTAAACTGTTATCCCCCCTTTTGTGGGGCTAAGCCCAACTGTGTGGAGCAGGGCGGGCGAGTTCAGGGTGGGGGCCACACTGGAACCCGCTGGCGTGGGGAGTTTTCAGCCCCCTCCGCCCGGAGTGCTGACACTGACACAATTTCACACACACATACACACTCACACGAAGTGCCAGCTAAGGGATTTGAGAGAGTGATAGAGGGCAAAGGGAGAGAGGCACTGAAAGACAAAATACACATTTTTATGGTTTTAATTCTGAGTATATCCATATTGTTTTGTTTTTAGATGCTTTGTAGATTTAAGTGAATACACATAAGAGTGTGTTAGTGTGTACTTGAGTCTCTACCACTGTAGAGCAGCTGGGAGTGATGGCAGGACGTTCCCAGCAGCATGTGCCTCAGACAGGACTCTCCAGGAAGCTGCAGAGCCCCTCCCAAATGCTTTAACATATTTCCATCATGGTTGTAAGGGCTCTTTTACCACTCTTCAATGTGACATATTGCAGTGGGATTGTCTTGTGAGACTATTCATCTGCCTCTAAATCCAAAGGTGTTTTAAAAGAGTCACCTTCTTTTCAAGTATGCTGTTTTTTGCAATTTTAGAATTAGTAGGAATATTAAAGAACCTGTCAGCACACCGTAAATGTAGCGTAAACGTCTTCTTCATATTTTACAAATACTTAATGACACTGGAATCCACATCATAAACACAATACAGATTCCAAAAGTTGATCTTTCATTCTCATAAAGTATAATATTATATACAGACTGTCGGTCAGGTTTTTTAAATGGTATGTCGACTGTGTCTGGTATCAACAAATCCACACGGGCTATCTATATAAATATATCAATTTGAACATAATGCTCCCAGTTTTCATTTACAGGTGTCATATAATTAGAATATCATCAAAAAGTTGATTTATTTCAGTAATTCCATTCAAAAAGTGAAACTTGGATATTATATTCATTCATTCCACACAGACTGATACATTTCAAGTGTTTATTTCATTTAATTGTGATGATTAAAACTGACAACTAATGAAAATCCCAAATTCAGTATCTCTGAAAATTAGAATATTACTTAAGACCAATACAAAAAAGGATTTTTAGAAATGTTGGCCAACTAAAAAGTTGGAACATGAAAAGTATGAGCATGTACGGCACTCAATACTTAGTTGGGGTCTGCCTGAATTACTGCAGCAATGCGGCGTGGCATGGAGTCGATCAGTCTGTGGCACTGCTCAGGTGTTATAAGAGCCCAGGTTGCTCTGATAGTGGCCTTCAGCTCTTCTGCATTGTTGGGTCTGACGTATCGCATCTTTCTCTTCACAATACCCCATAGATTTTCTATAGGGTTAAGGTCAGGCGAGCTTGCTGGCCAATTAAGAACAGGGATACCAGTAGTTGATCAGCAGCAGGAAGCATGAAGTGCTCTAAAACTTCCTGGTAGACGGCTGCGTTGACCTTGGACCTCAGAAAACACAGTGGACCAACACCAGCAGATGACATGGCACCCAAACCATCACTGACTGTGGAAACTTTACACTGGACTTCAAGTAACGTGGATTCTGTGCCTCTCCTCTCTTCCTCCAGACTCTGGGACCTTGATTTCCAAAGGAAATGCAAAATTTACTTTCATCAGAGAACATAACTTTGGACCACTCAGCAGCAGTCCAGTCCTTTTTGTCTTTATCCCAGGCGAGACGCTTCTGACGCTGTGTCTTGTTCAAGAGTGGCTTGACACAAGGAATGCGACAGCTGAAACCCATGTCTTGCATACGTCTGTGCGTGGTGGTTCTTGAAGCACTGACTCTAGCTGCAGTCCACTCTTTGTGAATCTCCCCCACATTTTTGAATGGGTTTTGTTTCACAATCCTCTCCGGGTGCGGTTATCCCTATTGCTTGAACACTTTTTCCTACCACATCTTTTCCTTCCCTTCGCATCTCTATTAATGTGCTTGGACACAGAGCTCTGTGAACAGCCAGCCAGCAATGACCTTTTGTGTCTTGCCCTCCTTGTGGAAGGTGTCAATGGTCGTCTTTTGGACAGCTGTCAAGTCAGCAGTCTTCCCCATGATTGTGTAGCCTGCAGAACTAGACTGAGAGGCCATTTAAAGGCCTTTGCAGGTGTTTTGAGTTAATTAGTTGATTAGAGTGTGGCACCAGGTGTCTTCAATATTGAACCTTTTCACAATATTCTAATTTTCTGAGATACTGATTTGGGGGTTTTCATTAGTTGTCAGTTATAATCATCAAAATTAAAAGCAATCAACACTTGAAATATATCATATCTGTGTGGAATGAACATTATACAAGTTTCACATTTTGAATGGAATTACTGATGATATTCTAATTATATGACCAGCACCTGTATACCCATTTCTAGGGCTACAACAAAGTATTATTGTTAGTATTGACTATTCTTCTGATTATTTTTAGTTTGTAAAAGATCAGAAAGTAGTGAAAAATCACCATTTCTTAAAGCCCATAGTGATGCTTTCTTTTGTCTGACCAACCAAGTAATGTTTCGTTTGGAAAATTACTAAAAACTATTGATCAATTATCAAAATTGTTGATTGATGTCAAATTGATTAATCGACAAATCATAGCAGCTCTGTCCATACTATATATCAAAGAGCAATAGTTGTGGGCATTTTACAGCAAATTAATACAAGTTAACAAAATATTAATACCAAAACTCTTAATGGCAGTAGATCTGCTCCTAATAGTTTGTTAGCTGAGCGCATTATATCCATCTATTTCTCAAATCCTGTTCAGTCAGGAGGGGCAGAAACCTCTCCCAGCATGCACTGGGCAAGTAGGCTGGGTACACCCCAAACAGGCCACCAGTCTAACACAGGTCTTACACACACAGACCGACAGAATTTCCAGTTATGGGCAATTTAGAATCAACAAATTACCAAAACTGAACCTCCTTTGAACTGGAGGAGGAAACGGGAATACAGTGAAAACAGTTTGTAGTGATCATGGTTCATGATCATGGTGATCTATCGTGTAATTTTATATACAGTACTGTGTTGTATTGTATAATGTATTTGAATGATACCCAGTACAGTAATTTAATTTCTACAGTAATTTGAAAAGCATTTGAAACAGCAGCACTGTTTTGAAACTGTCAATAAAATTCAGAAAAAGTGAAGCTGTCCATTTCTTTACTTTATATTCATGTAATAAATATACAAGTGTCAATTAAATGATAATCTGAATGAGAATTAATGAAAACAATTTGGTTATAGGGTTCAATTTGAGTTGCACAGACGTGATTAATAAAAGATTCCACTGTACATGATTTGGGAACCTCCCCCAGTTTGAAACATGGAGAACACACTCACAGGAAGAGAAATAATGCTCTCTACTAGATGTGGTTTTTATTCAACTCACAGTACATTCTACAGATGCACACGTGTTACATCACCTTAATACAACATCTTGTAATACCTCCTCTTAAAAATGATGAATTGGTCCTAAAAATATAAAGGAACAAATTTAAAGTCACCAAAACTGTACATTATTAAAAATTCACTTAACACCACATTTGGTTTTCGTGTGTTTTTTTTTCTTCTTTTTTTTGAAAAAACATCTGTCCCTCAAGTGTAATAAGGAACATCAAAGTTTACTTCCTATCAACAGATTTGAGTTCAGTGTAAGAAACATGTTTAAATAAAACCCGGACAGTGGAATCATCCCGTCGCCTTCAGAGCACGCCAGTCATGCCGCGCAACATCGTACATGGGCCCTTGTACAGCACATAAATCAATAAAAAGGAATGTAAGACAAAACCAGGCAGGAATGTGCCTAGTACCTTATTATCAAAGCTCCTTTGCAATTCTAGCCTTTAAAATGGAGGGGATTTTAGCCTCGCACATAACCACTTCCAGATTCACAGATTAACATGCGTCAGTTGCAGTTTTGAAGCTGCAAACACAATCTTCACCTGGGGCAATTTTGTACTATACAAGAGCAACATTTCAATGCGAGCTGTGTGTTGTAGGAGCATCCTTTCACTTGTATAGTCTGTGACACAGATGCGGTGTAACTACTGGATTATTTACTCTCAACAAAAGGGACAGTGAAATATAAGAGTCTGAGCTCAGTCCGACTGACACACTTTATATATATAAAAAAAAAAAAAAAAAAACCCCTATCCTCCAGTTTCAGAAACCAGTGTCTTTCACACAGCAGCAGAAGGTGGGTATGTGTGTGAAATCGTGTGCATGTTTGTGTGTGTGTTGGTGAAAAGTGTGAATGTGTGCGTCCAAGACTTTAAGTGGAGGTTATACAAACGTCTACTCGTGACAGTCCAAGGACAGATTCCTTTTAGTTTAACTGGCCTTTTCATAAATCGTCTAGACATCTCTATAAGGTAATCTGTACACGTTCACTACAAGCTATTGCTATTAAATAATCCCAGCTATTGTAATCTTTATATATATTTATATATAGAATATATAATAAAAATATATTGAGCAAAAAAATTACTTCTAGGCATAAGACCACGTTACATTACGTTTCCATTGAACAGGTAAGAAATGGCCCAAGCTCAGTGAAGAGTTTGTTGAGATCCATTTTGTCATTTAGCGGTGCTAATCAGGTCCAGTGTGCAGCACTTAAGCTGCAATAGTGTGATCAGTCCCTGACCTTCATTGTGAGCCTGAGGCTGTGTCGCCCCACAGCAGGGCTTGACCAAAGGCCTCGCTACGACATGGGGCTTGTGAGAGGATGTGACAGCAGAACGCAAACAGGAGCTGATGTGCCGAGGTGATGATGAGGAGACACGAGTGGGGGAAGGAAAAGTGAAGAGAGACATGTTCTCACTCTGTTACGGGGAATGGGTACAAGGTCAAGCCAGTTCAGCTGTGGGCCTGGAAAAGATTAGGCCGGTGGAGGAAACGATAACAGACAAATAGCCAAAATCTATACATATATATCTATACATGAGAATACACATAGCTGGAAGAACCTCCAGACAGTCTTAGCGGTAATGGAGAGTGTGTGACTGGGACGGTGGAAGCACCAACAGTATACAGCCCCACCATCAGGGGGAACGCCGCATGCTCCTATTTGTCCTTATTCGAGTAGAACTCCGCCCAGCGGCTCTCAAAGAAACGCCTCATGGAGTGTCCAGCCACTCCCACCTCCGACGTGTCTTCATTGAACAGCTCGCAGTTGTTGAAGACGAGGTGAGCATCTGCTGCAAACTCCTCACAGCTGCAGTACCTGAGACAAGGAAACAGCAGGGAGAAAAGACTGATGTTAAAAGCACCAGGGAGGGACACAGAGACTGCATGGGAAGAAAATGTCATACAGGAGGTAACAGGACAGAAAAAGAATATTCCCTCAACTGGGGAATGTACTTTATATTTTTTTATAAATGTGTTTGTAAAGAACAATCAGCCAATCCGAGGGATCAACAAACTCAGAAGCAAACACACATTGGAAGGGGCAGGGCATATTTATGATGCATTAACCTCTTGTCTCTGAAGTGAATGTTTGTTTTAGTTAGCCCTACTTTTTCCTATTACCCACTGTTAAGTGTTTTAAATTTTTTATTGGTTAAGTTAAGGGGAATTCATCTTAATACTACTCCTACTACTCCTCCTCCTCCTACTACTACTACTGGAAAGGTTTAGACTTAGGATTGGCTGATTGTTCTGTGTATGCTGCACGTGTGTATATACACACGTGCAGCTTAAAGTCATTTGTTGTATGAAATGGTTGACGGAGGTTGCTTGACCTTAATGTAGCTACTGAATAAATTCACTGCAAGTGTTGACAGTGTGCAGGAGTTTTTGAATCCACCGTCTGTACACAGGTGAGAAAATACATCTTTTCTGCATAAATGTATAAGTGAAAGGATGAAGGTGGCAGCAACATTGGTTTCCCAATGTTTTTGTATCGTCTCTCTTCCTTTGGATCTTTCTTTCTAAGAAAGCCACTTTGTATTTTGGTTGGCAGCTTATTTTTATGTGTTTGAGTGGGATGTGAATGGACAATTGGGGAAGTTCTACTCAACTAAATGGGCTGTATCCATTTTTGTGATTTAAAGTACTGATGTTGTATTTCAAAATAAAAACGATAAGTCAAAAAAGTACCCGAGAGGAAGATTAGGTAACATGTAACCTTGAACTATTGTGCATGAGAGCTAATAAATATAGTAATGAAACATGTAGCATGATCCGCACTTACCCTCCCTGAAGCAGTCTTTCTCTCATGGTGAGGAAGTCCATGGGGTTCTTGATGATGCGGCGGTAGCCTGGAACCAATCGGGGGTTGACGGGTTCAAGGAATGGCCAGGCATCGGCATGCGCTTCCATCTCCATTAGAATGATCCTGGCAGGAAATGAAATGACCACAAATCCATCACATGTCAAAACAAATGTCACCCTGTAGACTTAAGAATTTATTTATAATCCTGTTGGGTAAGAAGGCAGGTCTCACTCGCAGAAGGTGAGGTCCGGCTGGTTGCGGGTTGTCATGCGACGACGTTTAGTGGCGCCTCCGTCTCCAGAGTTACGGGAAGATGAAGAGGGCGAAACAATCTCCTTGTACCGTGTTGCCATGCCGCCACTACGTCGCGTTGTCGTCTCATCTTCAGAGCTATCGTCTTCATATCTTCTCTTCTTCACCCTGGTCCTCTTTTTGCACGAGCGCGGTGAATCACCTTTCTCCTGAGAGACACAGCCAATAAGGGAACAGATTGTGCTGACGAGGAACAAATGTAACCCATGACAAATTACTTGGTAGGAAAATATTGCTACAAAATGCGCTTAGATTCAAAATGGCCCCAATTTTCCCTGCAAGTTTTGATCAGTATGAAGTTGTTTTAATCACAGGACAGGTTCTGACCTGGGCAACGCAGGTGGGACAAAACCAGTCTCCCTCTGGCACCTGGGTGATTTTGGGCCTTAGGCAGTACATGTGGCAGCCACGATCACAGCTGTCACATAGCAACAGGCAATCATCATTGTCTCCCTTCCTGCAAACCTGGCAAGTCTAGATAAAAAGCGATCGCAGAAGAAATCCTTAACAACTTTGAATTTGGTGGGTTTTTACCATAACTTTGTGCAGTGTGCTCCCAAAAAAAGTTAGTACATCAGGGTCCAAGAATAGTCTTGCGAGATAAAGTTACATACCACTTTAGTCACAGATCTCTCCCAGGCAATGGCCTTCTCCAGCTGAAGTAAACACAGACAGACCTGGGGAGCACTGCGGCAGCGATCCAGAGCCTGCCGCCACGTTCGCAGTCGAGACGTGATCTCACTTTCCAAACTAGAAATGAAAAGAATTATAAGAAATTAAGGCTAAAGCAAAACAAACTCATCCTCTGCACTCCAAAGAAAAGCCTGTCCTTCTCACCTGAAGACATCCATGGGATGCTCTTCTCCTGGAGTAGGGGTGAGAGGAGCGAGGCGCATCACTTCGGCTGGGTTCCAGAGCGGCTCCTTTAGATATCGCCTTTCAATGTTTCGCTCAAGGTTGGCCAAGCGCAGCACAGCCAAGTCCACCGGGTGTGTGGCGATACGTGGCAGGCCAGACCACTCCTTCTTAGTTCGCACAATCCAGTCATCTTGAGGGTCTGCGTCATGTTCGTAGTATTGAAGGTCATCACGTGTGGAGTCTGGATCTGGGATTGTGTAGGGCTTGATAAGGGGGCGAGACAGGAAGAGTTTAAGTATCAGTGAGGGATATGACTAAACAGTGGTTAAGCACAACTTAATTAATCCAAGAAGAATTGTGAGAAATAGTTTTAGTGTTGGTTACCTGAAATTCCGCCACAGATGTCTCTGTGTTTGATTCAGCATCATTCATTGCAATCTGAGGAAGTGCCTTTAAAAAACAAAGCCGATATAATTTGTTTATATAAAAAATTATATAGGAGAGTTTTTACTACTTCTCATCTGAGTATTTTGACTACTTCATATTGTATTACAATATGAATATTTACAATATGTATTTCAATATTATTCATATTGTTATGAATGTCAGTACTTAAAAATTTGTATTTGTAAAAACGTATTTTTCTGGGGCATTTTTATTTATTTATTTGGTCCGTAGAGAGATGACCGCAAATGAGAGAAATGGGGAACGACATGAGAAAAAGGTCTATTTGGCAACGATTTCCTACTTGTTACAATGACTGTCAAAATTTGCTACATGCCCAATATTATCTGTGCTGCTCTCGTCTCATAGAATCACACTAAAAAAATATAATTTATCTTGTTACTATAGTTAAAGAAAATCAACTTAAATCACTTTAAATTTTAATTTCTCTCAACTTGAGCTGTAGCTGTTGTTTTACAATTAGATAAATCAGATGGATGCATAATAGTGACTCATAAGAAGTAAGGTGCTTTTTCACCTTGAGATGGAGGTCAGCGGCAATCACCCGCTGCTCCAGGTCCTCCACCCACTTCAGGGAGTTGATGTCAGTCTCCATTGCTTTCTCCTGCACTTGCCAGGGCTGCTGCAGAGCCTCCATTAGCACATCCTTCTCTTCTACCTTCAACTCAAATATTGGGTCTAGCCGGAAAGAACACAAGAACAGTTCTAAGGAGAACACGTGGCAACCAGGGAAACATGCAGGAGGAAAAAAGGATAATGCACGATGATGTCAAGTCAAAAACATTAATTGGATAGAGTTATATTGCTGAGCTTCAAATTCGACTACACAACTCACCATCGACAGGTTTCGTGCACATCTCAGCTAAGCTCTCCATGTGTTTGGCCAAATGCTTATGGAGCACCTTCTCCCTGATGCCCCTTGGATGGAGGGCCTGTAAGGTGCTATACAGTTCATCTGGACTCTTGATCCACCACCAGCCACGCACCATTGCTGGAAACAAAACCAATACAACACACAGGGCACAGACTTTTACTTGTGTTTTTCCACCAAGAACACAATAAATGATCATGATCCCAAGATCAGCTCTCAACTGTATTATAGTTTGGTGGTAGCAGTCAAAAGAATATAAACAAACTTCTGAGACAACAGGCTCAAAATCATAATGCCCTTTTTAACCGGTAACCGGATACTACTTACATGCTGGTATGGGCTTCACCACCAGTTGTGTGAAGTACTGCTGCTCGAGCTCTTGAAACACAGCATTGGGAGGTCGGCCACGGCGCTTGGCTGCAGCCCCCCTTGGCCCTCTGCGGGCAGGACTGCTGCCTCTGCTACCTCTCCTCCGCCGGCGACCTGGCCTGGCGGGGGTAGCCGGAGCAGGAGTGGCAGCAAGAATGGGAGCAGGGAGAAGCGGGGGGGGTGCTGGTGGGGCATTATCAGAAGGGGGAATGTCCTGTGGTGTTGCAGAGGTTACAGGGTCAGCAGTAGCCAGGCCAGGAAAGAGCGGGTCCGGCTGAGGGTTGGGTAGAGATTATTTATTTATACAACACAAAGAAAACTCAATGTGCATTATTAAAGTAAAACTAAATGTATTTGTAGTTGATTGTGGTGGCAAACCTGCAGGAGTGGAGCAGCGAGCGCGGGCAGAGCACTCGGGATCTGAGGGAGGAGTTTAGGAGGTGGGGTGGGTATCTGGGCCTCTGTCAGAGAGTTATCGTCACACGGTTGTTTGGGGAGCAGGTTAAACCACTGTCCCTGTTTCTCTGCCATTTCCTTCACACTCTCCTCTGGTCGATTACCATCTGGAGCGTCCCCTGCTGCAGAGCACGCACCGTTGGTCATGGTTTCCTGTGACTGGCTGAGCCAGCTCTGGAAAGCAGCCTGTGTGAGGTCTTGTGTGGCACTGTTGGGTGATCCCGGCCCTTCGTCACCCCCAGATCTGACGCTACTTCGACGCCGACGGCGAATCTTTGCTGTGCGGAGGTGAAGCTCCACTTCTGGTTTGATTTTTCGGGGGCGTCCTCGTCCTCTTGGCATGCTCATGAGGGACGCAGTGCCAGGGAGGGGATCCTCCTCTGGAGACGAGGTCTGGGCCTGGGCAGGGTTAGCAGAGGAAGGAGAGGAAGGTAGAGTGGGAGTGGTAGGCATGGGGGTCTCCTCAACTTTGGGCTCCTTTTTGAGGAAGGTGACAGGAACCTCAGCTACATGGACATCTCCAGAAGCTGCATGATAGAAATGTAAGGGAAGTTTACATGACGATGGACAAGCCAGGGGGTTAGTAAAGTTTAAAAATCAGAGTGATGACACTTCTTTAAAATGTATTCTAAAACTTACTCAACAGCTCTTCTGGTCCCTCGACCAGAATTCCTCCGAGGTGAGGTAGAGCCAGGTATCTGCGCCGGTAACGGTCCTGGCCTAGCAATGTGGCCCGCATTGAATGAGACGACTGTAGCAGCTTTTTACGGAAAAATGCTTGCCTCTGTGGAGATCCAAAAGCAGAGGAATATATAATATAAATCAACATAAATGTATAAAGCACTGCATCTTTGTAGCGTCAGGCTTACCTTGGTTAGCTTATCTATCTGCCTTTCAAGCTCTGGAATGCTAGCAGTGGATGGGCTCTCACTCTGTAACAAAAGATCAAATGAAATGTAGGAACGAACCATTTCTAATACAAAAGTGAAAAACCACAAGAGCAGATACGTACGTCACTGAGTTTGGGCTCTTCTTTGCGTGCGCGGCGGTTGCCTCTCTCCACAGGTAGGCCATTCTCCTCCATACTGAGGTTCTCTTCCTCAGCCACTCTGGCACTGCGCCGCCTCTCCTCAAAACACAGCTCTTCCTCTGAGCGTCCTGTACGACGCGCTAGTGCCGCCTTCAGTCTGCAAAGGAGAAAACAATCAGGATCAAAATGTGCTTTCATTACAAAAAAGATCTAATCTAAGATCTTAAAAGGGGGGGAAGGAGTAATCTGAATTTTCTGTACTGAATAAAGGAAACCATGACCTTACTTGCGTAACTTCCCCTCAATGATCCACTTGTTCTTCCTGTAAGTTGCCATGTTTTCCAATGTGTTGTCAATGTCACTGAAATATAAAATGCATACATTAATAAAGTAAAAGAAATGTGGCGGTAACAAACTTTAAACTAACAAATAATGAGTTCTTGTTCCAACCTTGTCACAATGTTGCTGCTATTGAGCTCTTGCACCAGGAAACCCAGAATGGCTGCCTTGGTGTCAGGAGGCAGGGCGTGGAACGTTTTGGTCCTCATTGTATTGCACACTTCTGTATCATAAGCATGAGATTCCAAAAAGATGCGAAGCACTTCCGAGACTGTGCTGCGGGTCAGCTCTATCTCAACCAGCTTTTCCCCCAGAATCTTTATTGACTGAAGGAATGGATAAGGAGATGAAGAGGAAAATGTAGATAAAAAGGTTTATTGCATTAATGGAGAAAATGCTCAAACTGCATCACACACCTGATAAAATGATGGCAGGCCTGGATCATGGAGTGCAGCCTCCACCAACTTTATCACTAGGTCCTGGACCTCTCCTTGGCTGTCGCCCAGGCCCAGGAGGCCCTCCTGCAGGGTAGCGAGGCTGGGGATGTCCTTGGGTACATTGAGACCAATCAATTTTCCATAGCCATGTAAGAACTCAACCACAGCCAGGCAGTGTGCAAACGCCGTGCCAGAAAGAACCACACCAGGGATACGGGACAGCTCTGGCAGGGGCTGATGGAAACAAAGTTCAAAGGTCATGATTATCTTAAAAAATCCTCTGCAAACACAGAGCTAAAAGAAATTGGGTTTCAACTACAAAACTTACTTTGTGGTCAGTAAGACACATGTCCTCTGTGGGCTTCTTCAGTTCTTCTGCGATCAACTGCTGCCTCTTCCGCTCCTCCAGGCGCCTCTGGGCCTGCGCCCTCCTCTCTGCTGCCCTCTTTGCTGCCATAGCAGCCTGAGCTGCTGCCTCTGCCTCAGCCTGGGCTTTAGCCAGAGCCTTGGCTTTACTCCGAGCACCCAGCACCCGCTTACCCTGGGCTATCCTCTCCTCATCAGTCTGCTGTATTGGCGGAGGAGCCTCAACCTTGACTGACCTCCTGCGGCCAGGCTTCTTGGGCTCTGCAGCAGACCCTGACGCTGGCTGTGCGACCTGTGGGGCTGTCGGGTCGGTTGGTTCAGCCTTCAGCTCTAGGTCCTTGGCTTCTTGCTCAAGCTGAACCCACAAAAGAAAAGAAAGAACAAGTGTAGGTGAAGAAAAGGTAGTGTAGAGGAAAATGCTGAAAAATCATTTTGTGTTGAGTGCTTGTGTGTACCTTGGCTTTCTTTTTCGCCTCTTTCATCTTCTTAGCCTTCACATCCTCCCTTCTCTTCATTCTTGCCTAATTAATAAACAGAGGAAACAATATCAGGATGAGATGAATGGTTGATGGACAGCATAAAAAACTCCACATTACAAACATTCTAAACATACCTTTCTCTTCATTTTCTTTTTGATTTTTGCTAGTTTCTCCTTTTCCTCCTCTGTGAGAGCTTCTATAAAAAGGGAATAAAACTATTAGCTACAGTACAAACTTCATGAGGTTATGTGCTCAGCAAGTCATCTGACCTAGAGTCCTGTATGCAAATTGCTAACCAATAGGTATAAGCACAAGCTCACACTCCTCCTGTCTACATTTACTCACTCACCCTTGGCCTCAAGTCGCTTCAAAAGCTTAGCGTCAACTTTGCTAAGGAGGTCTATCATCTTGGGTTTGGGAGGTCGACCGGGGCGGCGGGCCTGCCCTCCCTTCAGGCTACGAACTCTGCGAGGTTTCTCTTTATCAGGGTTTGGAGGTCGACCTCGCCGGCCAGTAATGGCCATGATCATGGAGGGAACCTCCTCGTTAGCCAAGAGGACCCACTTCATACCCTGAAAGATATTGTAGAGAATGATGAGTCCTCAAAATGTTTGACATGTTTGTAACACCATGGGTTGGGCTATGCAGTAGTATTGATCCAAATCCTTGACTGAAGGATTTTACTTTCTTTTTAAATAGAAAAAAATAAACTGAGCAATACTCAAATATACAGACCTCAGAACTTTCTCTTTCTTCATAAAAATCTCCAACAGGCATGCGTGGGCTGAAACTGAAGTGTTCTCTGGTGACCACACTGTCCGTGTGTCTCTTCAAGTACTGGGTTGAAGCAATTAGGAAAACAGGCAACAGAAGAAAAAAAATAAATAATGGTCAGTGTCTTTACATCTGTATATCATCGGTTGTATTTGCCTTGACTATAACTTTAAAAGATGTTTATGGTTTTGTCTTATAGCCAGGAAAATGTACCTTGATTATTTCCGGGAACTGCTTCATCCTCCTTCCACAAGGTGTGTAATACCAGGTTTCGCCCTTCATGCGGCTCTCCATTTTCTTCACACGAATCTCCCTCTTCCAACTACAACAAAGAGAGTTCATCATAATATTCCTGTCATCCAGCATCTTTAGACACAGGTGTATCGTTACAATATATAAACACTGCACACATTTGAACACTTTTCAAAACTAAATAAAAACAGATTTTTGAGAAATGAGACATAGCATTAACAAGATTTTTTCCATCAGCTGAAAGATGAACACGGACAGCACGCCAAGACTATGAGGCAGAAAACTTAATGCAAAACTGAAATCTGTATAACTTAAGTAAAACTGGTTTAGTTAGGCCAGTTATCCAGATCACTCATAAATCATGCTTGTTGAGCATGTTTTGATTAATTTTACTGAATATATTAATATTATGGTTTTCAAAAAAATATGTGTAATAGCATAGAAAGTGTTGTCAACCAAATGATGAAATGATCATAAGATGAACTAAAAGTCCAAAAGGGAACCATACCCATGTCGCAGTGGGAACTGGACCTGCTCCTCAGTTGCAACCCTCCGTCTGTTAGATTCACCTGTTCAAGAAAATGCACACGACCATGCTTGGCATTAGACTGTTAAACTGTAATATCATTTAGCAACAAAACGCCGTGACATGATGTGGACCGCCCTCACAAAACTCTTCATTACCTGCAGTGGAGCTGTCGTCATCATTTTCATCATCAGCTGTTTTTTCGGCATCTTGTTTAGGCGTCTTTGCCAAGTTTCCATCTTGGTCCTGTTTCTTGGCCCTTTTCACCTTCTTGGGTTTCTCAACTGCTGTGTTAACAGATGAAGCATTGGCTAGAACAGCTTCAATTGTCGCTGTGATTGGATCAACCTCTCCTGTGTGCTCAGCCTCTCCACATACAGCTGACGTTTCTTTAACATCCACCTTGACAGACGCCTTCCTCTTTCTGCCCTTGGCCACCTCTCCTGTAAGGCCTCCCTCTTCATCAGTCTTTGTCTTATCCACTTTAGGGGTTCGAACTCGAGGCTTCCGCTGGGCCTCCTCAGGAGCTTAAAATAAAAAGGGGAAAAAGACAAAAAAAAAAAAACCGTTTAATAAAATAAAATAATTTTTTAATGTAACACTTGAACTCAGAATGTTGAATACCTGGGGTTTTAATCCATATTGCCTTTGGAGCTCGAGGTTTGCGTGGTTTCACTGGGGATTTCTGTTCTCCAGTAGCTGACACAATCAGATCAGTTACTGGTTGGAGTGGGTGTACAGCAGGGCCCTCTGCTGGTGTACTGAAGGCGATGAAATTCTCATCTCTCATCTTGAAGCTGGGGGGAGTCATTGTCTCATTAACAGTGGCCTTAATGCTGATGCGTCCAGCCGAGTCTGGTGTATCCTGTCCTCTGGACTCCCACTCTGCTTCAGGTCCTGAGATGAAACATTAAATAGCATTAGAAGAATCCAGGAATATAGGATGCAAGCAATGTCAAAAGAAAATTACTTTTTGCAACGGAGAAATATAAAATTCCATTTAGGATAATACATTATATATATCTATACAAATAACCACTGCTTGTCAACCCATGTGATCCTAGTTTCCATGATGATGAACTTTAAGAATATACCTTGACAAGCTGGCTGAGACGGCACAAAGAAGCGGGAGTTGGACACGTCACTTGAGTCGACAGAGGACTCTTCTATCTGAGAGGTGTTGTTCAGGGAAGACTTTCCTGTGATTTGGAAGCTGTCCTTGGTCTCTTCTGCCTCAGACGTTTCCCCTTCCCTGGTGGAGTCCAACTTGTCATCTCTGGAGTCTTCCACAGAGGAACTGCTATCTAGGGTCGTCTCAAACGCCGCACATTGCTGTTCTTCTTCTTGGGAAGTGCTGTCAAACCGAGAAGTGTCCTCTCTCAGGTGAAAGCTGTCGTCAAAGTGAGGGGAGTCATCTCCGCATGAGCTATTGCCATCTAAAAGAGGGGTCTTTCCCAAGATAGAGCTCACATCAATTCTAGAGGGGGTGTCAAACATTGAATTGCCATCAAACAGAGAAGCTGTATGTGAAGTATCATCAAAACTTTCTTCATCGGTCAGATGTTCTACCCTTGCGCTGTGGAGATGTGAGGACTTTCTGAGCGGAGTATGCTCCACCGTGGAGTCCTCTGCCTCACAGATGACACTGCTTTGCATGTGGTGCCTTTCAGAATCTGTCTGTTTATTCTTGGGCTTTTGATCAGGAGCGACTGCGGTCTGCAAGGATTTCCCAGGAAGATCAGTGAGGGATCTGGGTGAGCGAATTTCAGATTTATTAGTCTCATTAGCTTCTACCTTCTGTGATGTCCTTTTCATGCACGAATCAAGCTGAGAGGGGTGTTCCTCTGGTTTTCCGTTTCTTTTAGTAGCCAATGCTTTCCTATCCCCACTATGACCATAGTGCTCTGGCTTGGGCGACAACTGCTTTAGTGCATGAGGAGGAGTGGTGTTAGGAGGATGCTGCTCAGAATCAGAACTACAGACCACTCCAGAAGACATACCCAATGCAGGAGGCACAGACACCAAGGCAGGAGGGGCAGACACAGGTGCAGTCCTGGAGGCTTGAGTGGTTAGAAGAGGTAGGGTAGACAGAGTTCGGACTGTAGGACTTTCATGGGGTGCTAGGGAAGGTATGTCAGAATCAGCCGCTGGAGGAGTATATGTCTGACGCTGGGGTGTGGGCACTGGGTCACTAGTCTTACTGCACATTTTTGACAGTAGAGGTGGAGGTACACCAGCAAATAAGGATTTTGTACCCACAGATGAAGTAGAAGATATTAATTTTGGGGGTCCAGGTCTATCATGCCGAACTCCAGATGTATCAGGAAAGCAAGATGTCAGAGGTGACGTGGACCCTTGGACCATCTGTTGAAGAGACGAGATGGGCGCAGACACTGAGTAAGAAGACGTGGACACATTGGCAGGAGGGGAGACAGTGGAACTAGGCCCAGAAGCTGTAGGAGGCAATGAAGACTTGGTTTGATGGACCACAGTCTCCGATAGAGAAGAGACTGAAGAAAATCCTACAGGTCTAGATACACTGTCAGTTGAAGCAAGAGGTGTAGACGTCACTGGAGGAGATGCAGGCAGGGAGGAGGAAGAAGAAGATCTCACTGACAGATGCTTGGATTCAGCAGGGGATACTTCAGTCACAGCAGAAGTGGGAGGCCTGAGGCCTTGCATCATTAGATGAGGTGAGGAAAGTCTGGGAGGAGCCGCTGGACATGAAGCAGGGGACACATTGGGAGGTGTTGAGATTTGTGGTGGAGTAGATTCTACACCAGGGGGTGAAACTATAGGGGGTCCAGGGGCAGATGTGGGAGACTCAGAGGAAGCAGTAGCTGCAGGGACCCAAGGAGGTGTTGAAGCCTTAGTAAGAGACGTTGACATTGCTGCAGGCGATGTAGATGCAGAGAGCTGAGATGACACAGACTGGGGAGGTGTATTCATGGCTGGCTCTCTGACAGGGGAAGTCATTTCTGGATGCTGAGCTGCTGGCTGTTCAGAATGCTGACGATAATCACTCGTAGGACCCACAGGTTTGGGTTGGTAATTGTCACTTTTGGTTAGCCTGTGGGCATCAGGTGCCCTTTCCATACCATTATAGCTTGTGTCTCCCTCCTTGACACCTTCACTTGTATGTCCTGAAAGAGAAGAGAATCAACAACAAAAGATTTCAGGGTATAATCCATTGAATCATCTGATGGTCACTTTGATAAGAGTAATATCTTTCTATAAAATAGATAGATCAGAGACAGGGCATAAACTATCACCAACAAACCACTAAGTGAAAGTTACACATGGTCAAACAGTGGCATCTGCTGGTTGAATCATCCCTGAACATTTGCAATGAGATTAACCGGTTATCAGGCATTCATGTGCAAGAAGTAACTAGCAGGGCGGCAACTAAACATTTCTTTCGGTATCAATTAATTTGCCTTTTTTTTTTAATGAATGGTTTTGTATATAAAAACAGTGAAAAATGACCATCACAATTTCCCATAGCCGAGAGTGACCCATTCAAATGTCTTGCAGAATACAGGTGCCATGGGAAACTGTAATACAACCAGGGATTGCTGTGTTTTAATATGATCAGCAGTTGGGAGTGGCAAGGCTAAGTATAGCCAAAGAGGAATAAGACCATAGGACTACATGAGTATCACTCAACTGGTTGTAGTGGCATTAAAAAGGAGGAAATGTAAAGTAGAAGAGAACAGTTTAATTTATGGGGAACTAAAAGCACCAGAATTACAGTACTTTCAAAATGTAGCACTAATCAATTCCATACACAAATGTAATAGGAATTAGTTTTTATGGAAACTGGAGAAACACAAAAGGTTTAAGTATAAAGTGGTCACCTTGCATGACAGTAGATAGTCCCACATTGCTAGCATGGGGGCTCCGTTCCCTGTTGTGGCCCTTAGGTGATCCACTATCATGCACCGTTGAGGGTGACATCACTGGTGCTGAGGGCATTGGTACAGGGAGAGGGCTGCCAGTGCTTCCTCTGCCTAAACTGTGATGCTGTGGGCTGCCACGTGGCGGAGTAAAACTCTGGGCAGCTGGGGGCATCATCTGAGCCTGGCCTTGGGGCTGAGACTGCTGTGGTGGCTGCTGCTGCTGCTGCTGCTGGGGAGATGGCAGGGACGGGTGCTGGGGTTGATGCTGGTAATAGGGCATCCCATTAGGCATCATGCCATAATGCTGTGGTGGTTGCTGGTGCTGCTGGTGGTGGTGGTGTGGGTTACGGTGGGAGTGGAGGTGCTGCTGTGACGGTTGATGCTGGGGTGGTTGTAAGGACTGCTGCTGGTGATGCTGTGATGGTGTAATTCCAGGATGTGCCTGACTCTGGTAGGTCCCATACATATTGTGGGAATTATAACTTATCTGCTGTGGGCCAGGGTTACTCCTGTTCCAGTACTGACTCCCAGTAAGAGGCATGTTCGGTGGGCCTGCCACAGGGGGCTGGTGGGAGCTTTCAATACCCCCATTCAGTTGGTACTGTCCATGACCCTGGAAGTGGTGCTGTGACTGAGGCTGCACCATTCCAGATGTAGGCTGCTTCTGGTGCATCCCATGCCCAGGAGAGGTGCCCATGGCTGGACTATACTGAGGGTGTCCTCCCCACAGGTAGTCATAGCCCACGCTGCTCTGGTGGTGGTTGCTCATGTGTGGGTAAGGAGCTGTTGGTGGGTGGGAACCAGGCACACCGGACCCAAGTACAGTAGTGATGCCATTCACATTCATTTCGCCATTCATATCTGTTAGACACAAGAAAGTTTGTCGAGTAAAAAAAATGTTACAGTTTGCATTAGTTAAGCATTGTGCTTGTTGACTTTAACACAGAGATAGAACTATCAAATTAAGAAGTCTGGTGTAGAGAGGAAAAGTGAGGTCTGGCTCTATGAAGTTCATGAACTGACACTTATTTTTTACAATGAGGCTAATTTTATTTGTATTCTAGTGTGGTGCTTAGGGCTGAAAATACTCACTCTTCCCCTGCTGAGGAAAACTCATGGAGGAGCCGTTAGTATAAAGAGAATCCCCTGAGGAGAGTTTCAGTCCTGAGTTTGCTGAGGAGTGGGTGCCATAGTTGAAATGATTATTTGACTCCATCTGAAGAGAAAATAGATAAAAATTAATAAACATATTTACACTCAGTATTCCTCTCCAGTAAAACGTATAGAAGCCACGCAGTAGCCTTACGGGCCTAAGATGCATGTGCATGATAGAAAACAAGTATTATTTAATTATTTTTCATTTATGTATATGATACAGTTAAAAGGCGCTATGTAATGTGTACAATTTCCTCCGCGAAACAGCTATCTCAAATGATTTTGGCAACTGCAGCTTGTGACAGCACCATTTCGCTCCAACAACAACCGTCAAAATGTCGCAGCCAACAAACAGCAGATGCCAGGCCCTAGCGAGCCGTAATGGACAATCGGGATATGACGATAGAAGCTCATCATTACGGCTGATGAGGCGCCGCTAGCATGAGCACATCCTCCTCAACCATACCGTGGTAAATGCAACGCTACGGCCCAGGCAGACAGACATTTAGCAACACAAACTGTCCTCAAGACCCGGCGGCCTCGGCCAACTAACAATGGACGGATTAGCGATAATATTTTACAGTCACCCCCAAAGGCCTGAATGGCTGTCACCACGCCACTCGCTGGTTAGCAGCCCCATACATTCGTAATACAAAGTAGCCTCTCTATGAATACTTGATTTCCTAATTCAGCAAGGCCGTTGCAAAAGCGTTAGCTAAGTCGCGCTAGCTGCGTATTCAAACGGAACAATTCCGTTTAAAGCGCCGCTAGTCAACTGAGCTAACAACGTATACTGAACGTTACGATATGAAATGAACCCAAGAATTTAGACATACAGTTTACTTTAGCGTGAAACATCGTCCGAAAATATTCCTCGCTCCAGCTCCAAGGTTATTTAGCTCAATCATCACAATAGAACCTAGCTTACACACGCTAGCTAACTGATATAACGTTAGCATCCTTAACGTTTACCCAGTACGGTTCTTAAGCTGCGATGTTAGCCGATAGCCAGGTAGCAGGTACCGCAACCACGCTGGTGTGGATCCATGGTGCCCATCAGCAATACAGAGCGCCGCGGATGAAAATAAATACCAGCCGGTCTTGTTGATAATGACCAACGTTAAGTCACCAAGACTAGCTAGTTAACATATGGAGGCGTGCTCTCTTTTGTTCACGGGCTAACGTTAGCTAGCAGCCAGATGAAGTTACATTGTTTACGCTGCACGCACACAGACATCTTTTTCGCAGAGCATCTTCCTCCCACACTGCCACCATCAAAAGTTTCGCTGATATTACAGTTAAAGCTATCCAACCTTTCAGTCCTTTGGATTTCGAAGGCGCAGACGCCTCTAAACCTTCGTCTAAACGGATATGCGGGTGAGGATGGCACACCGGCAAACAATAAACAACTATTCCCCTAACCTTTGGGTTTTAAATTAGCAAACATGGCTGGTGCGGTCCAGTGCGGCCATGATCACAGAACAGAGCGAACAGTAGCAGTGTAAACGTCCCAACGATAACCACACTCACACACACACATCCGGTAACATTTATTAATGAAACTTCACAATAATAATAACAGTAGCTAGAATCATGTACCATTATTATTGTTGATTTTTAAAAATAAATAATAATGACCCCACATCACTATCTGATATTAGTAATAAATGTACCCTAAGCAAAATGTTATTAAAATATCCAAAGTAAAGGACTCATTACAATTACTATTATTTTTATATAGTCTACGCTAATTACGCAAAAAGGCAGTTTTTATTACTGCACATTATACTGATGCATTAACATGTACGCATTTACATGTGGTACTTGTTTTTATATATACACGTTTAATTTATAGTAATGCATCGTATTTTATTATGCTTATATATAGATCTATATATATTTTTATTTTATTTTATTTCTTTTTTAATCTAAATATGCAGCTACTGTCAAATAGTAGAACACTGATTGTCTTTGAAAAATAATTTTTATTTTTTAAATTCTTCTAACCATGATTTTTTTATACTGTACGAATGTGTGTATGCATGTGTATTTTTGTGGGTAAGATTTGGACCCTGAGTCTGTAATAAAGTTTTGATTGATTGATCAGTCATTGAATACCTCAGAACAGTAGTTAAGTAGGCTACTTGTGTAAGTGTAAATAAACTTACTTATACTTTCCACCAGTGTTAAATTCTAACAAAGCTAGTAAACTAAGTTTAAAGTTAGTCTACATTTTAATTAATATTTAGTCCCATGTGTGAGGGATTTTTGTTATTGTTTGACCAGGTTATATTCTCGTTAAGGAAGCAGCTTTTAAATAAAAGCTTTCTTAAAGCATGTAGTGATGCAAGCCAGTCATCCCTGGACAGGTAGAAAACCAAATCCACGCTTTTATTTTAATATTTCAGGGTGATAACAGGAAACTAATATTGCACATTACAGTCATCTTATCGGAAATGACAGCGAGGAAATCAGGCTTGAAGTGGAAATGTGCTAATATTCTGGGCCAAAGAGCCTGCAGGCGTCTGGGTCCTAGCGCCGAACACAGCAGGAGTGAAATCGTGAAATACTGCAATAAAAGTATATCTTGAACACTCGACACTATGAACATGGCACACCAAAGAATCCCTTTCCAATCCAGTGACATTTCTACTAAGGTGACTAATCTTTTGGTTGTGAATTTTCTCAAGAATTACAAGAAAACAAGGTTAAAACTGAAGTGTCATTACATCATGACTGCAGGCTGCTACAGTTGTCTTTGTCATAGAAAAAAATACTTTATCCAAAATATATTTTAGTACATAAGTTACATCTGTAACCAGGTTAGAAGTCCAATTTGCTCTGATAACTCCCCCAAGTCTGTCAAAAATAATCGCTTTCCCAGTGATATTTGGATGTTCAACCAATCAACCACCCACCCTCTTTTTGGAAGAAAAAAAAAAAAAAAAGGCACTTTGTAAGGGTAAAAAAATAAAAACACAAATCAAATGTCATTTAAGAAAAAAGGCATTTAAATGATTCTTGAACAGTTTATTAGAAAGATGTAGACAATAAAAAAAGAATTTCCACTGTAATTCAACATTTGTCTCCCCTTACATTTTATTGACAGTGCAAATATAATTTGGTCATTACACGGCGCCTAACGTTCCGACACTTCCTCACCAACAAGGGAGGATCATTCTAGATGAACAAACGGAAAGAACCCGGAGGATAGCAATAAACCACATAATGCTGAGGCCCAAACAAGCTTCAAGCCTCAATATCTGTTGTAAAACATTTCACCTTGCTTCTGCAGTCTAACACAAGTGTACATGTTAGGTGGGTATGGAGAGAATAGCTGTTAAGATACTAAATATGTTGAATTCACTCATATTACTATGGTAGGCAATGAAAAGATACTAATTCATTCAGATTATTAAGGTAGGTGATGAATTGTGAAGATGCAAATACTTCTGCAATGCTTTCAGAATATTCCAATCTTACAAACATTAAACAAAAAGTGAAGGGGAAACGTGTAAGCTGGAAGGTTAAGCTACAGAAACAGAAGACTGGCTTCCTGGATATCTAATTCACGGCACATGGAAGGCTTTAGAGGAACCCAATGAATAAATGCACATAATTCTTTGTCTTCTTAAATCATGAGATCAACTACACTGGTCGACTAACTTTAAACCACAACATTGGGAATGGGCGGGGCCAAATCATTTTAAACCACAATTCCTCTGAAAACAAATTGTAAATCTCATAACATGTATTGCTCAGTTGAGGACAATGATACAGCTTTTCCAACAAATGTGTGCTTACTTGTAATATTTAACAGTAAAACAAGATACCCAAAAGGTGCAGTACAGCAAATGGAAGTGGAGATAGCTGCTCTGTACAATACCATGCATATCAACCTTCATGGACTGATCGGTCAAGAGTTTGGAGCTGAGGCTATGGATTTAAATATGGCTACTGACTCATATGTACATGTTTGTCACTGCCTTCAATTTCAAGATATACATTTGTTATGATTCCTCTTGCCCTCTGTTCTTCCATTTTTCTTTCCAGAGTCTTACAGTCTTCTATTCCAAATCTGGCATTTCTGAAAGTGAAAGTGGACAGAAATAATATTAAACCCCACATCAGAACAAGCTTGTGATCAAAAATTGTGGCCGTTATAATACAGTCAAGGGTCATAACTACTTACTCTCATCATCACTATCTGCAGACTCATCCTAAAAAGACAAGAAAGGGAGATAAGGTTGAAAAATGTTGACATAACATCATCTGCGTTATTGGTTCAACAAGAGTTCACTACAATTAGACGACAGCCATAACCCCTTCTGACACTGATCTGTCCATCTGTCATTTTTTAATTTAAGCTTAAAGATTAGAAAAAAAGTGAAAGAAACAAACAAAAAAAAAAAGGATTCTTACATCATCTGCACCGTCTAGATCAGGTAGGTCGTCCTCGCCTCCCATGTTGTTCATCATCTGTAAAATTAAACCAAAGTACTCGTTATTACGACGAGAAGACAACAAATCTGAGCACTCAAAAGCAGGACCGTGGTGACAAATCTTTTGAATTTATCTCAGTTTAAGTTTGGTTCATATACCAATCCAATAAGTCCAGATTGTAGACAGAATGATTCAATTATAGGTAGAATGACGAGGCAGGTCGGTGCCTTTGAGAAGCTGGCTATGTTGGTCAGTTTCTCTCTTTATAGAACTGTATAGTTAAATTTTTCCACAGCATTTAATAAGTATAATAACTGGCAAATATTGTATACAGGGTAAGTGTGCAATATTTTATTTCCTTTTTATATTCTATATATAAAAAAAAATTGGGTCTCTTTATCATTAGATTTTATTAAATGAGTGATCAGTGTTTCCCACAGGATCTGAAGAAACTATGGTGGGTGTGCCTCAGACGCTGTTGGGGGGTCGGAAGAAAATGTTTCTAAATTTTAAAGTTAAATGCATTAATTTGGTGCAAAATTAAATGTACACTTGTAAACAATGTTGTGCTCTAATAAATTATTTAACCATAAACCTATTGTATTGCTATAAATAGTGATTAAACGGCAACAAAAGTCAACAAATTCATTTTTTCCCCCCAAAAAACCCTAAATCAAAGAATAAAAATCTAAGTAACTTCCCTAACATTTTATTGTTGTTTTGCTTTTAATGGACACGTAATATGTTTTATACTTTCTGTGAATATGATCCAATTAATCTTATTTCCATAGCCTACTGTATAGACACTTTATTTTGAAAACCAAACGTTGTCACATGTGTCTTTGCGCTAAAGTCATCAAGTCTGACCCAGTTTGATAAATAATGTTGACCTGCTAACCTGCCTGTCAGCTCGCTCTGGGCCGTTACAGTGGATTTAGCATAAAGACTTGAATACGTGTGCACTCCAAATGTAGGCGCAGCGAGCTCAACCGCCGTCACACAAACGAGTGACAGAAACAGCCCGTAAACGTTACCGTAGTTAACGTTACCTCAAAAGAAAAGTGGTTGTCTTGAGTCGGATGCCATGTTCATTTTAAGACTATGGTTCATTTTAAGACTATGGCGGGCCGCCATGGTCTCATTAATTAATGGGAAAAATGCTGCTGAAAGCAATTATAAATTACTTCACCCATCCTAATAAATGCACAGCGCTTACATCTGAGAATTGATCAAAGTTGCCCATCTCCTCATCAGAGTCCTCCTCCCAGTCTTTCCAGTTGTTGAAATCAACGCTGAGCCAACTCAGCTGTGAAAACACAAAATCAAGGTTTCTTTTAGTGATCTGATGCATTTTAACAATCTCAATTATGACATTCTAACATGCAACAATTAACTGTATCAAACCATTAAATGTAAATATGTCAAAGGTGTGATACACACTGGCCTTTATGTTCGACTGCGTTTGTGTTCAACTGACCTTAGCCTTTTCTTTTGTTAGCCTCGGCCACGGCTTCCCTGGCTGCGCTTTTCGTAAATACAACAACACTGAACGATCTGTACGTTTATGTTTGGATTCCTGCATTGAGACAGAAAGAAAATAAAGAAATATGTGGTCAATTTCAGTCTGCATTTTGTACGATGAAATGTGGTCTAAATGTTCTAAAGCAACGTAACTTACATTTTCATCAATGGCTTCAAAAAGGTCTATTTCATTCTCATGTTTGACATTGTCAGTTCCTCCAACACAACTGTGGGGGGGGGACAACAGACAAGTTACTCACCAAAAATTCACAATAAGAGTGGAACCGACAACAATAAATTTAACATCAAATTGATGATTAAATACAACTTGGGGTCTTTCTATACTAAAACATACCTGAAACCACACTTTGTTTTGTCAAAATTGATTTTAACATCTTTGCTGTCTGCTACACAGAACTCTATAAATACGGAGTCCCTCCTGTCGTACCACTTGGCAGTTGCTGGATGCCTGTGAAGAAACGGAGGACATCAAAATATCAACACATGTAAACAGTCTGTTATAGAACTAAAGGTGTAATTAGTTTTCTAGACAAATGAGGAGCCAGTTGTAATTCACCATCAAAGTACAACTCTTGGTAGCTTTAGACAGAGCTTTAAACAAAATGTTAAGATCCAGTTAAAAACAAAAATTATGACAATTCCTAACCTTTCCTCTGTTGTATAACCGCACAGCTCATCAAACCTACAACTTGCATACTAAATACATAATACAGGTCACCAGTGCTGGTGACAGATGTCTTCAGGCACAACAGCCTGTCATCAAAAAGCCTGTGTATCAGGTTGCTACGCAGTATCCAGTTACACAGTGCGCCCCTTAACAAGAAGCCTCAAAAGTGAAACATACTCAAAACAAGAAAAGTTAAATTAACACGATGTTTTGGATGGGTTCAGCTCAGCTTTCCTTGTAAATGCTGAATATTGCTGCAATACTTTTACCTTGTAGCTGCAAAGGTTATTATCATGCTCAATTCACTTTTTTTTTTTTTTTTTTAAATCAAATGCTCCACCATCACATTTTTTTATTATTAGTGCTCCATCAAATAATTAGTGATGTTAAATTCAAATGTTACCCACTAATATGGTAAATTCGGAGATCAGCCTAACTTTACAGGCTGAACTTGATTAGAAGAGATGAGGAGAGTCCATGTTATATGTTAAATTATGAGATTAATACAAACTTGACTTCCAGTGCAGACAGATTTCAGTAGTTTCAACTAATCTATAACAACTCATTGGCCTCCGTTTATTGATTAATTTTTTTTAAGTAACCTACAAGAGTGGTGGCGATTTCTTCATCAGCATGTTTACTGACGCTACTCGTATTGCTTTGAACCGATGGCCTTATTATCAAAATCCTCTTACAAATCATCGTGGAACAACCAAGGCAGTGTGTAACGTTATGATAGCTAGCGTTAAATACAAATGTTGACTAGCTAAACGTTTTAAACTTTGCAATCAAGCCACTGCCTATTGCTTGGTTTGGCTTTGCATTTAACATACAGGCCTCGGGTTTTATTTATAATAATGAAATCATGACTTCTGGCTCAGACCTGATGCTAATTCAATGATAGCAGCCGTTCAATGAACACCCTGCTAGCCAAGCTAACAACGCTGACGTTAGCCGCTACGTTAGTTAAGCCATGCGGTGCGTCTGACCCATACCATGGCCAAAGGTAGCCGTGTTTTCAGAAAATACTGGGACACCGGGTCTGCTGTATTAACTGCGATGGTACAATGTGTTCTTTTACCCTGTCTGTAAGATTCCAGCTAGGCAGCAAGTTGGCGTTAGCTCACAGTTCACTGAGGCAAGGCCAACCTCCCGCCTTTGAAAAAGCATGTTGTCACACGGCTAACGTTAGCTAGCTAGCTAAGCATGTTGGTCTATCGCACTTTCCCTCCGTTGTACCCTTCCCACAACTTACATGTCTTGGCGTTAAGTGAGCTTATTTTTTGCAGATAAAACAGCCCGGTGAAAAGGATGGTAAAGCCTGCAAAAAAACGAATACTGTCCGCACACAACCGCTGCAAACGCCTCTAGCCTGCGGACTACACTCCAGATACTCTTGCGTATCCCGGGATGAGAATGACACAGTAGTGACGCAGTTGGAGCGTACTAGACGTTTCTAGAGCTTTTAGCTGCGGGTGGAGCAGGCGGCGTGTAGGCTAATCTGCTGTGGACAAACTTTAATGTGATTTGCTATGGTCTCCTCTACCACCCAGTATGATCACAAGTCACCTCATCCGATTTACAGATGAAACTGTTAGGATTTCAGGTTAGTACGGTTGGAAGAAAATATACATATTTACTACTACTACTAATAATAATAACGCATTAATAATAATAAAAATACTGTTCCATAATATTTTTTGTACTTTTTTGTCAAAGTGCATTAAGAAGGGCGTTACAAACAAAACATATTTTAAATAATTACAAAAATAGAAGAGAAAAATAATCATGATGGTACATGCCACTTATCAATAATCATGAAAATAAACTAAGCTTATTTCATCATCGGTTAATCTCTACAGTAATCTGTTTTTTTCTCGATTAATCATTTGTGAAAATAGTGAAAACGCTTCCTCACAATTCCCCAAAACCCAAACTGACATATTCAAATGCGTTGTTTTGTCCAACTAATAGTACACAAGCCTAAGAAAATAAAATCATATAAATATCAGCAATATTTATAAAATACCTGCAGATGAACCGGTCAGTTGATAAAAACAAATAATTTCAGCTCAATTGAGCTACCTGTAGCAGCAAAAAAACAAACAAACAAAAAAAAACAGTACTATAGTGATTTTTTGTGAAGTGAGATCCAATGAGAATAGAAATGTACTGGTTCATGAATGGGAATTTAACAGCTTTCCCTCTATTTGTCTTTGGTGAATAAGTGTTCCCTTTAAGTTGTTAAACATCTCTCTAGACATCTTTTAATACAAAAATTTGAGTCTCATGTGGGGGAGGTCCACAAAAAAGTTCAATAACCTACTTATAAATCCTTACATTTATATCTATTCCTTCTCCATCAGACCTAAAATGTCTCTTACTTCATTGAAGAGTTCATTCTCAGTGTATGTGCACTGGATTGGCTTCCAAACTAGCTGTGAGAGACTTTCCCCTTTCAGCAGTTTAATGTGAAGCCTTAATCTTGTCCTCTCACTGCTCAATCTGGTAACATTTTTATTATGTACCTATTTCTAATTAAAATGTTCCTGTTTAAACTCCATCCTTCATCTCTTTAAAACCACGGTTTTTTTTCTTATTTAAGTTATTTATTGCCAACATGTGTCCAGACGCAAACAAGGACATACTGTGAAAACCCTACAGATCAATCTTGCAAACCTGTACCTTCTCCAGAGAGGGCAGGTTTTGAAGCGGTCCTGGCACACCCATAGGTGTTTTCAGTTATTCTGATTGGGTAGAAGTTAAATGGTGCCGTGGTGGGACTTTGATGGAAGTCACTACACTCCATTTTCTGATAGTTGTAAGAATCACATACAAGCTGGCCCGTCCCAACAACTGCAACAACACATGAAGCAGTAACTGGCCTAAACATGTTATATTACTTGTGTGACTGTCAGATGGACCTTTAGAGGTTGTCTGCTTATGATGCAGTTAAACATTATAATGGATGTCCACGCAATGTCCCTTATTTCTGAGCCTTGGCATATTTGAGTCTTGACAAATTGGGAGTCAGTGCAGCAGGTCATCATTAAAAAGAATTAACTTTTGAACAAGCTACTTCAGGTGCAAAGTAAAAACATACATTTACTCAAATACTACTTAAAAAGGGGACCTATGGAGTTCTTTCATAAACAAAAGTTACATTCATCTCAGTTAAATATTCTTTTTACTCCACTACATGTATCAACAGCTATAATTACTACTAGATATTGACGCTGACCCCATAAGTAAAATTTCTTAGTTTTTTGATAGCCTTAATGTTTATAGTTGTTATTAAATTGTGCATAAATGTGAGAGTGTGGGTAGCTGTGCTCCATTTATTCATTCATTATTTTAATCTCTTGCAACACCTGCCTGTACTTTTGCACTGAATCCCAACTCTGGAATTACTAGAAATATACATTTGCACTTTTTAAAAACTAAACATTTAACCACTGCCATACATGCACTTTGTTTTTATACCCTGTAACACACACTGAACTGTGCTATCCATGAATTTTGCTATACAAAAAAAGTTACCTTGCCAACTTTTCATATTAGGATTTACCAAACCTATTACAAAATACAACACATTCAGAAATAAAGCAGTGGTTTTCATTCCAAACCTTTTTTGGCTTGATAGATGGATAGAAAAAAAGTCTAGTTGGGGCCCTTTTGTCACAGTTCAGATCACTGTGACTTGTACCAGTACCAACAAAGTCCAAAGAGGTCAAAATATAATATTGCACGCAAAACAAAGAAAACAATCCATCTTCTTTCATACCTCACAATCATCAAGACCTGTGCAATTTATGTATTTAAAAAAAAAAAATTATATTTCTAGTAATTTGTAGTTGGGATTGCAACAACAACAACAAGCCCCCAATTTCCCAATAAAGTGCAAAAACATCAACTTCATTTTATCAAGCCACAACTTTATTTCCATCTTGGGTATAAATTGTATAAACGAGCTTAGATTAAATCAGCAACCTTTCTTCAACCCTTTGTTTCCAGGGTCCCATTACATTGTCAACTCCTGCCAAGGACACAAAAAAAGGTTTGTTAGTAAATGTGTTAACAAGTTTATCCCACAATTTAAAGAATTCCTCTCTTCTCAGGACAGAAATGTTGGCTTCAGTATACTCAGAAGAACGAAAGTCACTGTGTTAATCATCACTGAAGAGCTCTCCGTTCACATTTATCTACAGAAACCATTTAAAATGGTCTGCTGAATGGAATATACTGCTATTAGAAAAAAGGTTTTGGAAATCTTACCATAATAGCATTGACAATGTCATTGTTGTTGTTTTTCAGGGCGCGTACAGCCTTCGCCCGTGACACGTTGGCTTGTGACATGACGAGTTCAATGTCCTTGACCTCAACTCCGGTCTCGTCAACCTATAAAAATAACAGGGGGATTTATGTCTCATATAAGTAAACAATGTGTGTATATTTGTAAGGTTCCTTCAGACTGTGGAATAAAACCGCATCTTACCTCTTCTTCTTCGCTCTCCTCCTGTACTGTTGGCGTCTGTGTGTTTTCCTGGATGTTTGATACAGCTTCTCCCTGTACCTTGAATTTTTCTGCAGCAGCCAGCTGGGCTTGCTGGGAAAGATCTTCGATCTGGGGCACAAAGAGTTAAAAAAGCAATCAATAAATTATCATTTGGGCAGAAAATTTTCATCTGGGAATATTTTGACCACCCCCATGCTATCATTAGCTGAGTCTTCAAATGGGAGAATTCTGCAGCTTTATAAAAAGCTGAAACGAGAAAACGAAAAAGTAAGGACACTAGTAAAGTTGCTGGCTACATACCTTAGCTTCACCGAAGACGATGTATGTGTCTGATGCGGGGCTCTTGTAGACGTCTGGTTTGGTAATGACAAACAGGATGTTCTTTGACTTGCGAATGGTGACCCTGGTGACCCCAGTTACCTGCCTGAGACCCAGCTTTGACATCGCCTGCAAGAAACAAGTCATTTTACAATGTTTGACCATTACAATAAAAGCAGAAAAGTGGCAAATACCTTAATGAAAGACTTTCCGATCATTACCTTTCGTGCTTTCTTTTCACTGCGGCTCTGTTTGGCTTTGCTGACAGGTTCTTCATCTATTTCAGCAGCTGCTGCAAGCTATTGGAGACAGAATAGTCATCCACATTTTATGTCAACAAGACAATGTACACCAAGGAATAATTAGTGTTTGAATATAAACCGATACAAAATTGTAATGCTAGTCACTGTGTAAATACTTTCTCTTCTCAGGACAGAAAGGCTGGCTTCAGTAGACTCAGAAGAACGAAAGTCACTGTGTTAATCATCATAGAAGAGTGAGGGACAAACAACCGCTACAAATGTTCGTTTAGGTTCACGTCAGTGGACACAACATTCAAGCCCAGACTGAACCCTCACCTGAGCCTGCTGTGTCTGTGACTGTGCAGAGTCCTGTTCTTCCAGCTCAGGGACTGAGTCATCACTGTCCGACTCCGTGCCAGATCCTATAGAAACCACCAACAGAAAAGTTCTGTTAGTACATGCCTATTGCATTTATGTTATCTTGCAAGTTAATATGTAAATATTCTGCATAAAACCTGTGGAATGAAAATGGGTGGGTTAGTAGTGATCCAAAACAGTATGTTCGTTGTTACCTCAGATGAAACACCCACCTAACATGTAAAGTTTCATGTAAACATGTAGCTTAACAAGAACTGTAATAACCATTAACTTAGTTAATGTCTTAAGATCTGTGATTAGAGCTATTTATCAAATCTAAAACTACTGCATATTTCAAGTATGCTGAAAACAATACCCTCCTATCCAATACCACATTTACAGAATGTCACTAGACAAACTAAATAAAAACCAGCCATTAGACATCACACGGTCGCACAATTGAAACAGCACAACATGGCTGACAGTCAACAGCAGAACTCGCAGGAGCCTCCAGAACAACTAGGTAGCCTCTTTGAACAAGGACAGTTTAAAATTTAAAGCAAGGCTAATATATATTTCACAACCTTGGCTTTTTAAGAGAACAATGTATCTAAGCATCTGAGCAGTTCCCAGAATGCAGTGATATTTGGAAAAACAAAGCACAAAGAGAAAGAAGAAAATACCCTTGTCGTTCTTGATCACAGGCTCCACTTTGGCTGGGGTTTTAGCAGGTGTGGGGGCAGGTTTGGGTGAGATGGGTTCAGAAGGAGTTGTACCGATTACCTCAACCGCGGGTTTTACAGGGGCAGGCGCTGCAACTGCCTCAGCAAATGTGAGTTTACGGGGAGCTGGGGCAAGAACAGCAGGCTCAACTGGAGCAGGTTTTAAGGGCACAGGTGAAGGCTCAACTGCTGCTTTGACAAGCTTGGCAGCCTCAGCAGGTTCTGCCTTGACCTCAACCAATTTGGCCTCAGTAACTGGCTCAGCAACCTTCACAGGGACCAGCTTGGTCAACTCAGTGGGAGCTGGTTTAAGTTCAGCAGCTGGCTTGACAACCTTAACAGGAGCAGCCTTAACCGCTGCATCTGACTTTGCAACCTGAGGAGGAGCAGCTTTAGTTTCTTCAACTTGTTTAACAACCTCAGCAGCAGGTTTGGGCTCAGCAGCTGGCTTAGCAGCCTTAATGGGGGCAGGTTTGGGCTCAGCAGCTGGCTTAGCAGCCTTAATGGGGGCAGGTTTGGGCTCAGCAGCTGGCTTAGCAGCCTTAATGGGGGCAGGTTTGGGCTCAGCAGCTGGCTTAGCAGCCTCACCTGGGGCAGGTTTGGGCTCAGCAGCTGGCTTAGCAGCCTCACTGGCCTCAGCAGCTGGCTTAGCAGCCTTAATGAGTGCAGGTTTGGGCTCAGCAGCCTCACATGGAGCAGGTTTGCCCTTAGCAATTGATTTAGGAACACCAACAGGGGCAGGTTTGTCCTTGACAGATGGCTTAGCAGGCTCAACAGGAGCAGGTTTGCTTGGGGGTGCCACCATAGCACCTTCAACTTTGGCTGAGGCTGCTGGTTTAGCAGTTTCAATGCGAGTTGGTTTGGCAGCCTCAACAGCTACAGCTGAGGCTACTTTAGCACTTTCAGCAGGAGCAGATTTTACTGTGGCTGCTGCTTTGGCAACCTTAACAGGCACAGACTTGGGCTTAATATCCATCTCAGATTTGGGTGCTGCCTTAGGAACCTCAACAGGGGCAATCTCTGCATGTCCAGCAGGGGGTACACTTACTGGCATTTTGACTGGCTTCTCAGGTGGGATAAGTGGAGGAAGATCATCATCAGCTACAGTAACAGGCGCAGCTTTTGATGAACTGGTCTTAACCTCAACTGAGCCAGAAGCAAGAGTATTTGAAAATGAAACTGGAGCTGCCACAGCAGGCTTTGAAGTAACTTTGAAAGCAGCTGGGGCTTCAACAGGCTTTGCAGCAGCTGGCGAGGGTTTGTTTGGCTCAACCGGGGCAGGCTGGGCAGGTTTAGCTTCAACTATAGTTTGCTTGGGGTTAGCCTCCACTGGTTTTTCATTTGCTGCTGTGACCTTGCATTCCACAGGGGCAGGAACAGGCACAAATGCCTCTCCTTTCTTAGCTTTTCCTTGTTTCCCAGCCTTGACAACTTTTGGGGTGAAGCGGTTAGCCTGACTAGCAGAAGAGCTGCCAGGTGAGGATGCGAGGGGAGACAGCGCAGGTGACAGGTGGGTAGAGGAGGAAGTAGATTTCGGTGAGGTGGGAGAAGAGGAAGAGGCAGACATAGAAGAGCGTTTCCTTCTGCCAGGGACAGCCTTTGGGGCAGAGGAACCCTGCGCACTCTTGGCATCTTTGTCTTTGGGCTTTGCAGGGCCAGAAGCTGCCTGAGCTGGGGCAGGAGGGGTAGCTGAATAGAAAAACATTCTTTAACATTTTTGGACGAGAAGGGAATGTCTTACTCATGCAGGTTAGAAGACGCAATCTCCTTGCTTATGGTTAGGAAAAGGACACACCTGTCTAAGTTTGTTTGAGTTTGATGCCAATTTCCACTCAAATGCACAGTACATACTACTTCCACACAGAAAACCGCATTCTATATTTAGTCAAGATGCACTTAGGACAAAACTGAAAATAATTTTTTTGCAATGCACATGACCGCACTTGCAGATAGCAAGGGCTATGCTTGATATTATTATACTTGTTAGACAATAACATGAATAAATGCTACCTAATAGCAAGTGCATAAATGCACCCACTACTACACCACTGAGCTGGGCCTTCAAAGCAGAGATGACCGACACTTGCAATTTAAATGCAGGTACAATTAGGTATTTCCTCTGACATTTCTAAATCAAAATGTATGATAATGAATCCAAACAAAGCAGTTCCCGGCCATATGTAATGGAAGAGAAATAACAAGTCATAACCCACCCTGACAAACTAAGTAACCACTAATTAACAGGAGGGAGGAGAGTGGCCTTTAGCCAACTTTCTCACACTGAAAAATATCACTGGGCCTATACTGCATACTTTAAGGAAAACATTAAACCTTTGTTCATTTGAACTTGTACCACTCATGCTGCAAGGAAATATGCCGAACCAAATCAACATGGTGTATTCAAAAGATTGGGACATGTAGGGAGTTGGATAGCACCTGCTTTTCACAATGGATAAACCAACCTGACAGGTGGCGAGTGGAAAGAGGTGGGCCTTCACATTTGGAGGTCCCCTTAGACTGAATGGCCTTTGAGAGAAGCTTTACAGGTTCTTCCTTGTCAGGATTTTCATTTTGGGTAGCCACGTCAACATTCGTATCACCAGGCAATACTACATCTTGAGCTGCCTCCAGGCAAAGAACCCCCTGGTCTTCTACCACAGCCTTTGCCTTCTCATCTTTACCGTTTACACAGACATCTTCAGGAGCACATGGCTTTGGATCTTGTGGAATGTTTTCTGCAACTGCACCGGGCTCATCTCTAGATGCTTTTGCTTCCACGGGAATCTGCTCAACCTCTTTGCTGGCTTCTTCAGTAACAACTGCCTCCTGACTTTGTGCCTCTTTAGCTGGAGATTTATCCACGAGTGGCCCTTCTGAGGAAGCAATGGTAGTCTCAGCACAAGGCACAGACTCTTCATGAACTGGCAAATCAGCTGAAGCCACTGCTTGGTCAGCAGTCGCCTCTTGCTGTGAGACAGGTGTTGCTACCGACCCAATCTCTTCCGTTTGCTTGGTAACTTCTTGAGTTGCAGCTACACCATTTGGTTGATCACCAGGATCAGAGGTTTCTGGAGGATTCTCCAGAGGGACTGCCTTGCTCACTGTAGGAACAGGAGGGGCAGAGGAATGATATACTCCTGCAGCTGATAAAGGAAAATCAACAGGAGTAAAAGAGGGGGGGAAGGAAAATCACGGTAGTTGTTCGGGGAGCAATTTACTTCAACACAAATGCTAAGAGCTTCGTGAATATGCTGTGAAGTGAAAAAGAAATTGGGCGGCACACATCAACAGAAATGATGACTTCGTGAAAAGCTCGGCGACGTGGATCTGGCTCTTGTTTGCCAACATAAAAAGAGGGGGGTTGCTGAGTACATTTAAAAAAATTAAAAAAGTCCCGTGTTCCAAACTCCATGCAGTGAGTGTTAGATACCGGTATGTGCCAGAAGACCTCCTTTACGCCATGAAAAGCAGACAATGCATGAAAATAACCTTTTAACTCAATTAACTAACTAAAACCCTGAATTAATTAGACAGCTCAGTATGTGTACAAGTAGTTAAACATCCAAAATCATTTTACATTACCTTTCTAAATGCCTTAATGACCCAACGCTTTCTCTTATTTTTAGTAGTGTTCGGTACTGACCCATCTTGAGTCGAAGCTGCCATCAACATTCACCCCTTCCATTGTCATTAAGCAAACACATTTAGCTTAGCGAGGCATCCTTCCCTCTCAAATGTCATTTGAACTGCTCTGTTGAGTCTTTTGTTGTCTTTGCACAAATAATGTTAAATTTAAAAAAAGTGTACAAAATTACCACTGCTAGCACCATGACTTTACATGGCTGAACAGAATGTATAATATCAGCCTCTGCGTATTTTGACAAGCACAATCAACCTCTACTCTGGCTGTACAAATCAAACCACAATCAAATTTCTGTACTGCTCAAGATAGCTAAACTACAGTTCCAGTGTAAATAGATCTGTGTCAATGAAGTTGTCAAACAGATTTTACAAATATGTCAGCTGCAAATTAATAAAGTGGACTGTCAAAATGCCAAATGAGAACTGAGGACCACATTTTGAGGCAACTAGATTTTGAAGCAATTAGTTAAAACTTCTTAAGTGGTGAGGACTGTTACGAGCTCATCTTATAACTGCAGCTATGTGGTACTCACTACATATTATGCTAACAAGCCCAACTGATGTAAACAGACTTAAGGATTGCTCTTCATCCTTTTTTGTAAGTACTACAGAACAGTCAAAACTCCTTTTGTGAGTTGAATGTACAAAGTTATGGACTACAGGTGGCTTTATTGGAGTCTCCTTCATGTGGTACACACTATCGTCAGAAAACAAATTCAAAACAAATATACTGTAATTTGATGACAGCTTCTAACAACATGTTCTATGCAGTACATGTCACTAAATCACCTTGGTATTTTACATTTAGTTGCAGATGGATAGCTACTACTGACTGATGAATTAGCCTGTTAGCTCTTTCTCTGGTGCTGGCTGTGTTTGATCAGTTGGTTTAAAAATTCCTGCCTCACCCCTGAGCAAACACCACCACCCACTTGTAGACATTTTCAAGAGGAAAACACTGGAGGGGCAAACTGGTGAAAAATGAAGCACAAAAATGAATAAAAGCATGTGTAATACGCAATTGTAGAATTACACACTGTTTTTCCTCCATAACCCTTGCTGATACAACACAGTAACACATACATCCAGGATAATCAACTAATATGGACACCAGACAATTACTTTATTAACCAATTATCGTGTTTTGGGACCTAAGATCACCATGCACAATATGTGCTGACTTTCAAAATGTCCATTATTATTAAAACTATATTTTGGTGCCAGCATATCAATTCTTATGAAACTTACAAGTGTTGAACACATTTATTAGCCTTAAAATGAATAGCTAAAAAAGAAACAACGATTCAACAATAAGACTTAAGGTCAGGCTAAAATAAATATGCAACAATGATCTGTGCCATCACTAGCAAGGCTGCTTTCAAGCTACACAAAGTGAGTTTAAGGCATTTCATGTGCACAAAACCACACTGAACACCATGCATTGTGTGCTGAATCCAGTTGTCAGTGCAAGTAGCCACACACCATTGTGAGTTTGTGTAAAAAAAACAGAGGTCCTGGATTACTCTTTTCAGGCCAAGCCAAGAAATATCACCACTGTTAATCCTCTCAACGACCCTTACAAATGTCCCAACACATGGCTGGTGACAGTAACGATCACCTGTTACATCAACTCAGTGTCCAGCCAGCTGAGTTAAGTTAACTCGCTGAACCAAATAATCATCCCTTCATGCAAAATTGTTCCTCTACTCAGCAAAACAACCTCGCACAGACGGCTATTTGTTCATCATGTCACATGGTCTTTGAGTTCCAGGACCCCGTTGTTAAGTATGCAGTATTACATGCATGTTTAGAGAAGCTAAAGTATACGAACCAGTCTCCACTTGAGGCGGCTGCATCTCCTGCTCGGTGACTGGGACCGTTTCTGTGGCTTCACCAGGCATGGTTGCTGGTGAGGAAAGAGAAGGTTTGTTAGCTTAAACAAAGTCTTTTAATAACGTCTAAACTTACTGGTTTAAAACGTGTATGTAAGGAACTACAGATAGCTTAGCGGATCTGTAACGTTGGCGCGGACTAGTTAGCCAGTTCAAACACTTGACTTGTAGAGTTAATACATTGGTTGAAAAAGTGTCTGAGCCCATGCTTTAACTTGTAGGCTCAGTATGCAACTTAACGTACTCTCCATTGAAATGGCATTTAGCTAACGTTAGCGTCGGTTTGCTAACTGGTTCTGTCAACCTCAAAAGCGGACTTCAACGACAAGCAGTTAAGTCTACCATGAGTTTCTCCCCCAATATGAAGTGATAAAGTGACCAGCTAGTTGTCACACAAATCAGCAAATCATATCTCTTGTCAAACTGCGGCCCTGACAAGGCTGCTAGGAAACTGGTAGTCATGATGTTCCCCCATTTTGATCAGGTAATCAGAGGTACAACGGCACGTTTATCACTGACCAGAGGGTCGTAAGAGGAAAAATGAACTATGAATCTGATGACCCTACTTTACTTTAACACATGATTCTGTTAATATAGACGGGGAAGTGTGAAAAATGGCTGGATGACATTGGATTATTAGCGGAGACACTCACCGACTCGGGACGCTATATCCAAGATGGCTGTAAGAGAGAACTTCTGACCCCGCTGTCACGGTAATATCCGGTTTAGAGAAGGGATTTCTTCTTCCGGGTTATTTAAAGGCACATCCACATCACATACAGCTACCTACATAGTTTTTTCATTTTGACTTCTGGAAATAACATATTACCAAAGTGCTTCAGTACAAGTGAGTATTTGTACTTGTATGTCCTTTTATACTTCTACTTGTACCAATGTCAGTCAAAATAACTGTCACCTGTTACTATAAAAAGTACAACACTTAGTACAATATTGAGTATTTGTACTTGCGTATTTCCATTTTATGCTACTTTGTACATCTACTTTTACAAATGCCAGTCAATAACTTTCACCTGTTACTAGGAAAAACTGCATTTTACTAAAGTAAAACACTTAGTACAATATTGAGTATTTGTACTTGTGCATTTTCATTTTAGGCTACTTTACTCCTATTTTCACTAGTGTCAGTCAAAATAACCATCACCTGTTACATCAAGTAAGTGTAATCATCCAATACTCAACTTGTACTTTTTATATACAGTCTATGCTTTTACTCAACAAATGACTTGCTACAGATTGCAAATTATAAATATATAAACACATTTTTACTCCACTAAATTTCATAGGAAAACATTTTGCAGGACTTTTGCTTGTCATATTGCTACCCTCTTTGGTCAACCACTATTAAGCAAATTGGCCCCAAGTACATTGCTTAAATGCTTAGTTACATGCCAGCACTGGAGGACATGAATACAAAGGTTGTCATAATAGAGGGGATACTGAATACTACTTTAATACTTACTGTTCAAATTAAAAGCACAAGCAGGTAATACAATAATGTAGGCTATTCTATCCTGTTCTATTTAATTTATGTAATAATTGTACAACTGCAAGAGCTCCATAACAGTATGCATCTGGGAAAAACATAAGTACATTTGTAAAAACCAAGTCAAATAAGACATCTTCATTCAGTATTGTGCTTGAGTATTTGTTACAATTTCTCATTGTCTTTATTGTCCTTGAGAGTTAACATGTAACCCTTCACTGCCACTGGCTACACCTAACTGCTTGCTATTCCAGATAACTTAAGTTAAAAACTTCATCTGCAAAACTTCATCTGTTCTTATTAAAAGTGATTGCAATAGAACATTTTGAAAGAGTAGAAATACAAAATTTATTTTCACAAATTACTGTACAAAAACAAAATGTAGGCAACAAGCAGACAAAAATTGGCATTGTACTAGGAAAATCCTACAGTTAGAGATAATTTAGAATGTATTATAACTGAATCTAATTAGAGTATAATAAAACTTGTTCACCATAAAAATAGCAATATTCCACCTCAACATGAAGACGCTAAAACAGGACAGTCTGCTCTGTCTCCCACATTAAGTGACAGGGAGCTAATAACAATGCCTCTTCTGTATCACATTCTGATAGTTTATCCAGTTTAGAAATCTTTCTGAAGATCTGAAAGGAGAAAAGAAAATTGATTACATGAAATAAGAGACTTGTTAAAAGTCACTCTGCCTTCATTTCATCTAGTAAGAATAAAACGTACCACTTTTTCTGAGAATTTCGCCTTTCCATGCACGAGCCATTCCATCCAGAAACTGATCAAAGTATTTCACGTACTTTGCCAGGCTGGTTCTTTTGTAATCTGGGAAGAAAAATATTCTGTGAGCTGAAACAGATGATTTAGAATAAAATAAAAGTCCATGGGTTTTCACTGGTGGTTAGGGTTTCTTTTTATCAAGGGTTTAAAGTGACGCAAGATTAAATGTGATTTCGCATTAGGTTAAAAGCTCATGCAATTTACATTTTTCCACACGTTCTCACGCCATACATTAATTTTCTCATGCAATTAAAAAAACAAATGTATAACTGATAACGTCAACTTGCGAAGCTGATGCGACACCGGCATATGCCATGATAGCGAGTTGCAGCCAGTTTGGGATAGAGAGGTGACGTAGCTGGGAGACTTTTGCAATATGATCAAAAAACTGAAGCGCAAACCTGCTCTGTTTGGGGACTGTGAGCTGTACTTTTTTGGAGGTGCTGAAGTTAGTGTGTGGATTTGTAGGGAAACAAAAACATTTCCGCCATAAATTGGTGCAGAAATTTTCACCAGAATGCAGGAAATTAAGTGTTTGACGCTCAAAATGTTCATATAATTCAGCATTGGAGATTTCACAAGAAATAGTGTTAAAATCTTGTCTCGATCTCATGAATCCAATATCGTGTCTCATCTCATGACACTGCTACTACGGGAACAAGAATTCGGTGATTCTTATCCTATTCACTCTTATGAAGAGTAGACAGGAGGCCTCACATGTGCTCAGCACCTGCCACATGTTTAAATTGGTGTCATTTCATGGTCAATGTACCACATTAGCCTTATTTTGAGACATCAAAAAACTTGCCAGATTACTTCGTGTTGGCCTACTTATAATTTCCAAGACTTGGGTGTGATACAATAACCCTGAAATTCAGATTTCACCTCTGATCTTTCGTCTCTCTGCTGCATCCTTCTCGTTTTCCTTTTCCTTGATGTCCTCTGACTTCTCTTCCTCTTCGCCTGTCCTGGGCCGATCCAGCTCCTCACAAATCAGACTAAAAAGTAAATAGTTAAATAACCTTAGCTCTGACCAGTATCAAACACTGCACACAACAGAGACATTAAAATTATCGCTTACCTGATTGTGGGCACAGCAAAAGGATCAAACGTATCTAATTCTTTGAGGTCCATGGGAACCGAAATGCGCCCTGGCCAAAGTTCAAAAGAGATAAGTCACACTGAAACTCTGTCAGTGGTGTAGTATTCACCATGCCATCATCATTACATCTCATAAGGTCTATGCTCACCTGTTTTGGGGTGGACACTGAAGGGGCTCTTCAGCAAATGGTTCACACCTTTACTGACATTCACATCGAGACGTGGGTAACAATACTGCAGCATGATTTCTTTCTCAAAGTGTTGGCCCTTTTTGGCAGTGCCCTGTAGAAAGAATGATTATATCATGTGTGTTTATCATAAGCCATCTTGCTGTAATGTTTTAAAAATCTATTAAAATGGTTAAACATATGCCATGTTATGTAATGCGAGCAGAATTACGAACCTGTTTCCTAATGGCTTGTTCCTTGATCAGTTTCCAGCGGGTCTCGGGTTTCTTCTCATTCTGGAAGTCCTGCTGCAATTCTTTTCTTACATGTGAGCACAGCGTTAAGGTCAAGACCAGGTAGTTTCACAGAGGTTTCTGCATAGTGAAAAATTTTTATTACCTTTAAAAGAAAAATTTATAATATTCTCCTTTGAATCACATCTAAGACAAAGAAATTGTTGTTTTCCATTGGCTACAAGTTCTACTGCATGTGTTCATGTAGTATTTTGTGAAAAGGATATCTTCCGGCATGAGTCCCAGCACTTTGTCTACAGATTCCTTGCGGCCCAGTATGTCCTGGTCCTGCAGTGCGTAGCGGGGAAAGTATCGCTCCACCGCTGCCAAAGACTCCCTGATGATTAGAAGTACAGACTCTTAAACAAACATCAACAGAACAACAGTTACAGCTTCAAACTGACCTTCACTAAGAAAATCATCTTACCTAATGAAAGGATGAATTGGATCTGTCAACACAACTTTTTTCAACGTCTCTTCACCTCCCTATAAAAACAGCAGTGAATACAACATCAAAATAAATAACATTGTTCTTATTGGTTTTCTACATACAAGTCAGACTACTAATGTACCCAGTTTTTTTTTAAATGTTCAAATTATAGCCAATAAATAAAGTATTGGATAAAGTATTTATCCTTCTGAAAATATATCCTGTTGGAAGGAAAGAAAATGCATGATTATTCTGGTGTAGGCCTGCAACAAACGACTTATTTTATTATTTATTCAATCAATTAATAGCTTGATCTTTAAAATAACACACAAAAATTCTTGTTCAGATTTCTGAAACTGGAACCAGGGAATTGGTTTGACATTTTTGCTTGAAAAATGACGTGAAACAAATAATTATCAGAATGGCTGCCAATTAATTTTCTGTTGATTGACTATTAATGGTATAATTGTTGCAACTTCCTGTCATACTAAGCACTACACTCACATCCAATACCTGTTAAATATATATCAAACTAATAAAGTTGACTAATAACAGTTTTGACTATAGTTTGACTGATACTTGATTTTTAAGTCTGATACCAATATAAACATTTGTGAGTTATGATAATGAAATATCTGATATTAAACATAAACAATAAGGATCCCTGACATTTAGGTACAAAAGAATTTAGAGTTTTAAAACCTGTCAGTACTCTCTGATTGATAAGTTAGGTTATGGAGACAGTTTTACAATTACCATTTGCTTTTTTTGTACTGTAATTTTGTGTTATTTATCAGCCATCACACGCAGATACTAATTCTGAGATAAGACGGCCAATTAATTGGTCAGGCACTAGTCTGTACTACTTAACAGAAACACACTGATTCACAGAAATCTGCTGCTAATAAATACAGCTGTCCCAGTCGTCTACCAAAATCTAAAATACTGTTACCTTAACCAGGCTGAGGTATTCTGCAACTGCAGAGCGTGCTGCTACAGACAGCTTCCTGGCAGCTTCATCACACACCCAGCAATGTACTCCTCTTCTGCCAGAATAAACCCACAGAAGGTGCTGGAAACCAAAGTCATCTAGAATATCACATAAATCACAAAGACTGTTTGTGTGATGATACTTTTGCTGAAAATAATAAAAAATAAATAAATCGAAAACAAAATCAGCAGATGCTTGACACAAAATCGATGACAAACAAACCTCTAAGAGCTCTGTCCAGGATGCGAACGGCGATGGTCATCAGGGTCCAGCACTTGGAGCAAATGTCTGCAGCACTAAAATTAGAGTTTGTGTTATATCAGTGAAGTTAGACTGTTAGGATATGCTGAATCACTAAATTAATTTACCTGCAACAACTTCTGACATCATCATAATCGGTCATATCAATATCAAACACCAGCTCCTTCTCCAGGGCCTGGAAGGTCCCTGACTTCACTGTGTTGTGTTGATTGGGCTGTGGGGAATAAAACAGATTACAGCTTCAAACTGACCCCATCACCTTATACCAAACTTTATCCATGTCTGCAGGGGGACACAAAAAAATCCCTGACAGCAAAGTGGATTCATTCAGTCTCACCCTATGACTGTATACTGCTCCAATGTCAATCTTGTAAGGGTTCATCTTCTGCATTTCCTTCTCCAGCTCGCTCTGTGTGCTGAACGACTGGTAGCGGACGTAGATGTCATCTTTGAGTGTGAAGGAGAACTCTCGATTCTGAAAGTAGTTCTTCTGCACTGAGGTTGAAGAAATAACACATTAGTCACACGCATTACTGTTGTCGGCTCTTTCACTTATAGGGGAATTCTGGACACCATGTTGAAAAAGACTGAACAAACAAGACTCCAGTTATTTAGCATGCTAACACTCGTTTTGGCTATCTTTCCTGGCCTGACTAAGTCAATCAGGATACTCACCTCCTCCATAGTTTAGCCAGCGATAATACTGGGAGAAGGGGAACAGACGTCGGTAGTACAGCGGTAATAGGTCCGGCAGACAAGACGAGTCATAATCTGAGGACGGCATCACCTGACAGTTTACTAACAGCTCCGGTACCGTTGTAAAAGTATGTTAACTTGTCACCAAGACGCTAGCTTGATACCGCTACAAGCTGATAGTTTAGTGTGTTGTCTTACACCGAGAGCAGCGCGGGAAAACGCTTAAGGAAAGGGAGCGAACCAATGAGACAAGGTTGAGACAATGACGTCATCAAAACGCGGAACTGTGTCCGTGAATATACAGTATATTTTTCCCAAATTAGCTTATCTGTTACATCAACTAGCAGCAACTAGAAGTAAAGCAACATAGCTACGAGAAATTGCTGCAGATTACTGCGCGAAGGCTTTGCTGACGTTCATTGACTCAACCTTGTAATAATCGTCCTAGCACCAGAGAGAAGGCAGAAGTGTCGCCGGGAGGTGAGAGGATCATGGGAGGTGTAGTATATTACGTGTAGTACATTTAACTTCAATCAGTGAAGTTAAAAATGATAGATAAATAAATAAAGAGCTAATACATAAAATAATATAGTTTACGTGAAATGGAGATAGGGGTTTTCTTTGCTTAGAGATTCAAAATAAATATAATGATGATAATAATAAAAGAAATACATGAATGAAACACAACTAAGGAGAATGACTATAATATAAACTTTTTTACAATAATAAAATTTAGTGAATACATTTCCATATATCATTTAAACTCATAGATCGGCTGTGTATTTGGGGGAAATCTTCAAGACTCTAGCTTTATGTTGTAAATGACTTGTAAATGAGTTCCCGAAATCTTACAGTACTTTTCCTGCTAAGTAGAATCAGCACAAATAAAAATGTTTGAGAGAAGTATTCTCTTCAACTCCAGCAACAAAAATATTACTGGATCCTGTTAACTGCGTTTGATTTCATGGCTCTGTTTGGATTGTAATTTTTTTTGTCCACCTTTAGAGGGCAGTCCCGTCACATGAGAAAATTGACAGGGTTGCTATGCTCAGGCAACCTCAGCTCAGGAAACGTGATGGTAATGGTCATTATTGCAGTTAAATGGTAGCCTACTCTTCATTTCGTAAGGCTACAGTAAGAACATGAAAACAGCCAAATTAAAAGTAAAAATCTCACATGAGGTCAATAGCACACAGATACACTCAGGAAAGGACACTTCCCTCATCAGATGGCCTGGGATGCAGGGTCCTTTTTGGCTCAATTGGTCTAATTTATGCTATCCCCTCTTCAGTCAGATACAGTTTTAGGTACATGTAATTTGCAAGGACAGCCTTTGGTCTGACATTTGAAAACTTGACCCTTTTAAGACAAAAAGGGACAGGGGAGGTACCCCCTTTTGTCCTACCCACTAGTCTGGATGATTCACACAGTCTAGTGGAAACTTTGATTGCTTAGTGGAAATGTGGTTTTACTGTTGTATTTCAATCCGGAGTCTCAAACGGCACCTGACTGAAGTGGTGCTGTTCACATAAAAGGTTGAGGGCTGTGCAACAATAAGAGCTCTTCCCAGTTATTGTACTTCTGATATAAAATATCAGGCACCTTTTGCACTGTGGCTGTACATTAAATAAGGAATATTTATTCTGTCTCCTCTCCTGACTTGTCCATTGTTGTCATTAGAACCTTTCTCTATAATTTATTTCCATGCATTTTCATTCCGTCTTCTATTCACACAAAATGGAAATTTGACAGAATGTAAATGTCAAGACATTTAATCCTTTTTAAATTCAGTGCCACAGCCATCAGATGTATTAAATCAAAAGTCAAATCAAAAGAGTAACCTTAACATACAGCATGTGTAATGTAGGTTTGAAGCTTTTAAGATACACAATATATTATTATTATTAGCAACCCATTTAATCCATTTAGTTGTTTCACAATTGTCAGACAGGTGGATGCTGAGAGTGAGCACTGCCATCCACCACTGCAATTACCCAGCTGTTAGCATAATATGCTAAATGATGTAAGATCCGTGTGCACTAGATTAATGGTAATGAACTAGTTTCTCCTTTGCATCATCACTGAACTGTGCCACATTCAAGGTGCAATTAATTGACAAGCAATTCCAATACATTTCCACTTGATGATTGCACTTGTGTTTATGGTAATATTCTTTAATCATACCCTGATTTACATAATGTAAAAGCTCTCAACTACATCTTACTTGAATTATGTAAATTCTCTTGCTGCAAGCCATAGGGATGTGATGTTTTTTTAGGAGAGCTGTCTTAGTAATAATTTGAAATGGACTTCGGATTGAAATTTTGGTGCAAATTTATGCACATTAATGCTCATAACCTAAAGCATTACTTGCCATTTCTAAAATGTTTGCTTTTCCTCCATTGTGCATATAGATATGTAACCAGACATCACACACTAGTATAGCAGATACTTTCAGTAGTGTGTATGATAAATCTAGGTCAGACAGTCGTCAGGTGCCCATGGAGCATGTTGGCCAGCACCATAGGTCATCATGTTAGCTGTACACAAGGAGTCATAGTTTGGGGATGATGTAAAAGTCACAGCATTTTCAGATGTGCCACTTGTCACCTTCCATCAGTAAAACAGTTGTGACACATATGTTAGTAGAAATCCTCTGCAGAGATGCTGATCTCGTGATTCAAAAGGCCCAAGACATGTTAACCTTTCCACTCTTTTTCAGTCCCATCAGGAATGTCAATACAGAGTGTCCTTTTAGGAATAGTTGGATATTTTGCAAGATTTGCTGTCTTTCTACTCTCATGTCTGACTGTTTTACATACTGTTTGTGACACACATAGAGCTGAAAGGGAGCATGAGGGAGTGAAGCACGAAGTGCAGGTAGGTGGGTGTAAGTGTTTGCATGTTATTAGTGTATGGTGTACATGCGTGTGAGCGGAGCAAACACAGCACAAAGATAGAAATCTCAATGAAGCAAAACAGAGAGGTTTACCATTTACCTTGTTTCTCTTTGCAACAGGCAGCAGGTGCAATTGACGTCCCCGGTGAGAGCTTCATGCTATACATTAATGGCATCAAAGAGCCATCTGTGACAGTTGAGCAGTTGTTTACGTATATGTTCTGCAGAAATAGCCACGCTCTACTTACTCTGCAAATGGCTGACACTCTTGAATTCTGTTACACTTCAGATTGATGAAGCCATCTGTCATCTATTTGGGTTTGGGAGGCAGTGCTCAGCCCTGCGTGTTGCATACACACATGTAGACACAAAGTCAGTCATATGTTTCATTTAAAAATAATCATCATGCCTTTTTCCCACAGTTGGTAGGAAGAATACACACGCACACACACACACTAACAAAGATATTAGAAAGACGTTAGACAACTTTTAGAGCAAAGTCTGATGAGCTGGATTTCTGTGTCCTCCTCTGAACCATCTCATAGACACTGTCATTTCATCATATGACCTAAAAATCACTGAAGCTGGAGAAAGACATGACCTTTCAACTGAGATACTACAAGCACAGACAACCAGTTGTACTATTGACAGTCAAGACAGATAACATGAGGTACTTTCTGATAACGTCTGGCCATGTAACTATATATACTATATGCACACACCTGCACAGATAATGCTCACATAAGAAACAACATTGCTATTAACATTTACATTAACCAGATTCTCCAGTGAGGTTGTAGAAATATTTGAGTATTAGTTTCTGTTGCAGCTGTGAACAAAATTAGATTAGCGCCCAGAGACACATTAGGTTTTCCTTTCCATGAGAGCATAAAAATCCCCTTTAACTTCTGCACTCACATAGTCAACAGGTCCTTAGTGTTTACTTAAAGGAATAGTTCAACATTTTGTGAAATACGCATTTTTGCTTTCTTTTCCGAGAGTTCAATGAGAAGAACTAACTTCCTGGAGTCACCACTGGTTGCCTCATAACCTATGACTTTAACGAGATTAAACAGATATAATGTTTAAATGTTATTTAGTAAGCTTTAAATGTGCTAGTAGAGAGTTTTTATACAGTTAAACAAATCCAACCTAACTGTTTTCCCTTGCTCGCAGTCTTTATGCTAAGCTAAGCTAACAATCCACTAATTGTTAAAATATTTCAGTCTGGACCAGACTGACATCCCAGAGCCATAAGATATTTGAAGAAGTATTAAGAGCCTTTACTTTAAGTAAAATGACTTATACAATACAAAAATACTCTGTTACAAGTAAAAGTCCTGCATTGAAAAATGTTACTTCAGTCAAAGTATGTAAGTATAATCAGGAAAATGTACTTAAAGTATTAAAAGTAAAAGTATTCATTGCAGAAAAATGTCTCCATATAATTATATTATTATAATTATAATTATTACTCATGCATTAATGTGTAAGTACCATTTTACTGTTGTAGTTGCAGAGGTGGAGCAAATTTTTTAACTATTTTTATTATGGATTAACCTGCTGGTTATTTTAAGCCTAATCAATAGATTGATTTGTAAAACTTGAGAAAATATTGAGAAAAGGCGTCCTAATGTCTGAGAACCTGAAGTGACACCTTAACAATGCTTAAAAAACAGTCCAAACCCAAAAGCTATTCTTTAATTTACTGTAGCCTAATATTTAATAAATGATATCACAATGATCATTAGAAGGTAAAGGCATCAAATCCTTACATTTGAGAAGCTGGAACTATCCATCCATCCATCCATCATCAACCGCTTATCCTGCGTATGGGTCTAGAGCCAATCCCAGCTGACATCGGGGCGAAAGGCGGGGTACACCAGCACCAACAACCAGTCACACTCACATTCACACCTAATGAAATTTAAATTATTATCAAAATAGTTGCCAATTAATATTCAATTGATTAAATGTTCTGCTTTTTCAGCTTGTATGCTATAGCCTATACTGTTGGGTTTAATTTATAGCAAAACATCATATTTTTTAAGCTCTGCATATGCTTTGTGTGCAAAAATGCAAATATGCAAATCAAATAACTACAGCTGTAAAATAAATCTAGTGGATTAAAAAGTAGGCCTACAGCATTTCCCTCTGAAATTAAGCAAAGTAGAAGTATAAAGTAACATAGAATGGAAATACTATCAAATATAAGTAAGCGTAATATACAGAAAGTACAGCTCTTGAGTAAATGTATTTGTTACATTCCACCTGCTAAAATCCGGGCTGTTGCCCAGCAGTTCACCAT